AAAAAAAAAAAAACACTGGGTGGATTTTTAGCATTTTAGGGTGGTTGTGTACACACACTGCCAACACACATTTCAGTTCAAACAACTTGTAAAAGTGCATGTAGCATCATATTACCCCTTTAAAGGAAATTTACCATGTTTTATGTGAAGTTCCACAAACCATGCTCACGTTAACATGTGGAATATTTGTTTCAATGGATGATTAAACTTGTCGACGCAGTGGTGTATAATTGTAGTATTTTCTTTGCAGTAATAATAGTGTGTCATAGGAAGATGCATTCTAATCATATTCGCTGTGTCCGAAATTGTATACTTCCCTAATATATAGGCAAAAAGCAGTAGGTGAACGAATAAGTACGCCCAAATCCTTAGTTTTCATAAAAGAGTAGGCTACTATTTCGGACGTGTGTATACTAAAGTTTTTTCCAAACATGCCTACTTGCCTACTACAGTAGGAGAAAACAGTACGTGAAAAGAGTTGTAGGCTATGTCCAAAACTTCATTATTCATAAAAGAAGGCGAGAAATCCTCGGATGTTCTACTACTTTTGCCCAGATTCTGAAGTGCTCATCGATGGATACTTTGTATCCCAGAATGCCACAGAAGAGGATACGTCATAATCGAACAGCGTCGAGGGTGTTTTCAAATGTGAGAACTAGAAACCAAAAACCTTGTGTTATATTGCATTTGTTGAACTACTGTAGAGTAAACTGTTGAATTGTTGAAGGTGTAAAGATGCTAGACAGTAGGGCTGTGCTTGGTGATTATTTCTTTTTATGGGGTGCCAACACCACGGAGGTTACTAAATGTCTATTTAACATCTGACAGGAAAATCTTTGCTAAGTATTGCAGGTGAGCACATCACAACAGACATCTGAGTGAGTTACATGTATGTTATTATGTAGTAGAATTCACTGTTGTCCACACTGCTTACATTAGATGAAAGTAAGCGATGAAAGAAAGAAGCTTTTAAGCTTTCCATGATCCGTGACCGACAGAGGAGTATCTTGGCGGCAGGGATTTAAATCTTTAAGCTTTATCGTATACTTTTCTATGTGACAAACACAAATGTCATGATATTCTTTGTAAAGCTGAGATTCTAATGCTGTAAAGCAACTCTAAAAAGAGGACAGTTGTAAAGTTTTTTCCCCCCAGTTTAAGTTAGTACATTGATGATTCAGTTCGGTTCAATACTTGTGAAAAGTTAATCAATTATGTAATGTGTTCAAGTCATCTATAAAGCAGCTTTGGAGAAAACGGCTTGTCCAGCTCAGCTCTGTTCCATCCAATAGTGTCGGTGCGATCTAGTCCCTAATATTGCCAAATATGAAGTGTCCACAACTAAGCAAGCCAAGAGGTGACAGTGGCGAAGGTCATTAATACAATTTGTAAAGGAGGTTATGGTTTAGAAAACATCTGGCTTGAGTCCAGCAGGGGTTTCTATAAGAACACAGAGTCCAGTGATTCCATATGACCACTTTATTTATCCATTGAAGCAGGTAGAGCAAAGATGAGCAGGAAGTGCATCATGCAAATATGGATGTGTGTGTGTGTGTGTGTGTGTGTGGTTTCTAAACAAGAACAGAAATACAAACAGTTGAATCAAAATGAACCATACTTAAGACGACACAGTCAAAGACACACTATATAAACAAACTTACATTGCTCACGCATTGCTCATTACACACACACATTACAAATCAGGCAACTCCAAAGGCTCTTAGTCTTTGTGCATCAATGCAGGCATTTATAAAATGGCTGCAGTAATTGGCTAATTAACAGAGGGCATATAAAGGTCAATGAGAAGCTAATTAAGGAGGAACCAGGACTAAAGCAAGAGAAGTTGAAGCATATTAGAAAAGTAAACAAAAAGAATTGCAATGCCAAATAAACTTCAATACAATGACAAAAAAGTAACCTGTAATAATGAAAACATTTAATACAATGCTTGCAAAAGTTTTACAAACAACTCAGTCCCTCTATTAAATCTGCATGTGCTTGCAAAGAACTGATTAGACATTTAGAAACGGCATATTAATATTTGTGACATTTATTTGGACAGGCAAGCATAGAGATTTGACAGGAAGCGAAGCAAGAGAATTGTGAAAAGGACCACAAGCAAGGACTCGGGTAGCACAACTGTGCCACATGATGTGCTCCCCACACAGCTATCAGAAGAATATTTATTTTCTTTTTTTGTCATGTAGAGTCACTGTGCGTTACAGTTTCAAGCCTGCTTTTGCTGCTCCTAATACTGCTGCTCCTACTGTTGCTAAAACACTACCGTTCACTTTCAGAAGTTGTAGGGATGCTTTCTTATTAGAATCAGAATCAGAATGAGCTTTATTCACCACTTAAGTGTGCGCAAACACAAGGAATTTGTTGTGGTTTTACAGGAACTCTTGGTACATACATACATGCAAATAACCATATATATATGACACAAGATAGTTATAGAAGTTCACAGAACTGACTCAGCAACAGCTGAGTAAAACGGTTTCATCTGAGCATGTGGCACTTTAAGCATTATCGTATCGCATATCGAATTATTTAATGAGTTATCGCATATTGCATTTTTTTTTCAGTATCATACAGCCCTATAGTATATTTGTGATTTTGCTGTAAAACACGTTTTATTATGTATAGCTAACAGGGGACCTCAAGTAAGTACACGTACATCTTCAAAGTGGATTTACATAAACCATATACTTCTTCAAGACGCTAGGAAAATGTTATATCTCAAACACCAAACCAGCACAAATGTTCGTTTTTGCGGCACAAATCAGCATGATTTGTGAATGAATGGCTTTGGTGATTATTTCTTTTTATGGGGTGCCAACGCCACGGAGGTTACTAAATGTCTATTTAACATCTGACAGGAAAATCTTTGCTAAGTATTGCAGGTGAGCACATCACAACATGAAACAGACATCTGAGTGAGTTACATGTGTGTTATTATGTAGTAGAATTCACTGTTGACAACACTGCTTACATTAGATGAAGGTAAGTGATGTAAATAAACAAATTTACTAGGGGTGAGCAGTCAAAGATTCGACAGGAAAGCATAGAGATTTGACAGGAAGCGAAGCAGGAGAATTGTGAAAAGGACCACATGTAAGGACTCAAACTTAGATGACATACCACTCTTAAACACAGTCGCCGATGATGGTGTTTCCTGCTGAACTCTTTCCTGTTCCAGTTTTACCCAACAGCACAATCCTGAGATCTGATAAAGAGAGAGGAATTTAAGATGTTATTTACACTTCAAAAACTGAAAACTTCACATTTGCCTTTGCTCACTATGGGGCCTCAGCAAAACTCCAGGGGGCCTCAAGAAGATTTAAAATAAGACAGAACAAAAATATATAAAATAAATTCATTAGCAAATTTTTTTATATAAAATAAGTTAAGTAACATTGTTTTTGTCAGACTCTGTTCGGTGTTTTGTGTGTGTTTTGCTCCCCATGTGCCTTCCTTGCCCTTACTTGGTTTTTCCTGTTCCTGTCCCTGATTAGATCTTCATTTGTTTCCAGCTGTGTTTTATTAATTAGCTCGTTTTCTCCGGTGTTCTTAAGCCCTGTGTTTCCCTGTCTCCAGCGTCCGCTGTCAAACGTCTGTTCCCCATGCTATGTGTGCGTTATGCCTGTATGTGAGTCTTTATTTGGATTAATAAAGATTGCTCCATGTGAATTGCTCCGACTCCTCGCTTCCTCGTTCCTGTCACAGTAGCAGTAGCCGAATCGTGACAGTTTTCATAATTAACATTATTTAATTAACATTATTTACCCCCTCAACCACTTTTTTTCCATCGAAGAACCAGGGTCCCCATCATTTTGAATAACTTGTACATACTGTACGAGGTCACCTAATTTTAAAAGTGTAATATCTAAAACTGGAAAAGTCATGGAAATTATATAACATGGTAATGTGGTACACCAGGATAGTCCATAACCAGGTGTTGGGTGGTTCTTTGCCTACATACCATGTTTTTGTTTGCCTCCAATTAATGCACACCAAGTCATAGATTATCACTTACATACATATATCATTTACCTTTTTACTTGAAATCTCAGAATTAAAAGGAACAAAAAAATGGCTTAATATTTACCAATGTTTGAACTTTCTCTAGCAATCTGTTGTATCAGTCCTTTCATCTCTTCCTGACTTTCCATCTGTTTCCTGAGATGTTCCTGGTCTGAGAAAGAGAACGTGTCACTTTAAATAGCAGTGACTGTAAATGCATTACTGCTATAGCTGTACATTTCAGATACTTTACTTTGGACAAAATGAGAACCATTTCTGGCCAGTTGGGGAACATAAGTTCAGTTATTTCCTTGTTCTTGTTTCTGATCATTATGCTTAAAATGACTGTGCCTTTCTCAAGAATAAATAAATAATAAATGAATGAGCGAATGAATAAATATAAAGTGTGCTTATTTAATGTTATTACATCCACGGTAGCTATGTAATGCATTTACTGTGTATTTTGTTGAATATCAGTAACATTGTTAGAACACTCAGTTGGACTGAATGGTACAGCTTATTCATGATTGTAAATATTTGACCTGTATGTTTGTTATACTGTGTATTAAAATGCATACACCCTTCTTTCATCATTTCACCTTTCCATGATTCAGTGCTTTCATTAACCCATAGCATAATATATCATTATTATGTGATGATTATGTGATATCATTATAATGAAGTGAATCATTCTAAACCCTAATACAAATTAATTTAAATTAATATAAAATACAATTTAAGTTAAATAAATAAATAAATGAATAAACTGGCCTTTACATATTGATGCCATTATTGTTTGTTTTAAATACTGTGCTGAGAGTGTTAAGCTTACTGATGATCTTCGATTACAGCATAACAAAATGAACAACGGAGAAAGAAAGAAGCGCTTCACTCAAAACTAGTTTTTACTTTTTAAAAACAAGAGGCAAAGGGCAGGAAAACGTCTCGCATTTTGTAAACGTTTAACTTGTTTTAATTTTGTTTGGCGTTCTAAAACTTCTGCGCCGTGTTGCTTTTTTACTGTGATTCTTGAAGGCAACGTTCGTCTAGAATAACACTGGAAAATCAGCAGCGCACTGGAACTAGTTCTGTGTACACTGTTCTACACCTACTGGCCTAGTTCTACACACAAAATGTCTTCGTTGGTTTTGCATATAAGTTTAATGAAAGCATATCTTTTAACTGACCTGAATGTTCACTTGCAGATTTTCTATGTATGTCGTCCATACTTTCGCCGCTTCTGTATATTTTCTCTCTCTCTCCTTGTTGTGACCTTGCAGTAAACTATACGCAATGTTTACTTTCACTTTTAACGGAACAGGGTGGAGTGAAAAGAAGACATGTCACCAGTCAGTGTATGTTGGCTCGTGAGAAGGTTTTTCAGTGAGAGTAAACAACATGGGTGTGTGATGAAATATTTTATATACTACATAAATCATTTGAAGAAGTTACTTTACATGGCAGAATAGCTTACAAAAACATACACAGTTATGAGAGCCAGGTGCATTTTGAAGGCCTCAAGGCCAAATTAACTGACGGTGTAGGCCTTATGGCCTACGTGACTGCACTTACGAATAGACAATACAGAAGGAAGTACTGGAGAAGGGAGATGCTACAGGCACTGTTGCCAACTCTCGCAAGATAAATAAGCAACCGCAGCTTAAAAAACAAGCCCAAAACTTTTTTTGATGATTTATTATCATCAATATTATTTATTATCAATTATTTATTACCAATAAATGAACCTGCAACATATTAAACTGAAACCACTCTTTTATCTGAAAAGCAAAAACAGATATGTTATTTTACAAAAATCAGCAAACTGCAACAAAGTGAGAACAAAAAATCTCCAATCATCTGTGAGCAGAATAGGATTGGAGAGATGGAAAAGGAGAAAAACGCAAGAGCTTCAAAGGGGAACTGTAACATAGCCACATATTTAGGCCTATCCACCTTTTTCTTGCCGTAAAAATGGGCGCGGCCATTTGTAAATTCTATGGGTCTAGCTTCCGGTCTCATCTGCGTCCAGCTATTTTTAGCTGTACAAAACAGTTCCTTTTGCTGCTTGATATTGAAAATTGGTGTGTCTTACCATATTGTTTTAATGTATTACCTTAATTATGAACACACTGGTTTGTAATGCAAACAGTTTTACCGGTTACTGCACGTTGCTATACTTGTCGTTATTTGCCTATAGCGGTTAACGATCCGGAAGTCTCGCCCATAGGCTTACTTCCGCGTTGAAGAAAAAGGTGGATAGCCTACTAAAATATAGGCTATTCAAACCAAATGTATAGGCTATATAGTTTTAGTACTAGTATAGGACTACTTGTTTTTTATTACAGCCCATGATAATTAATACATTACAAAAACATTGTAAAAATTAGGCTAAAAGAAAGTCATCCCACTCCTCTACGTCTACTTCTATCATCGCTTGGATTACAGCGTCACGCGCCTTCTTTTTGAACGTGATTTTCTCCAATGAGGGGGAGGAGGGGGCGGGACATTTGGCAAATTAAGCTGCAGCACTTATATTATTGCACTGGTTGACCATTAACTGTGAGCAGAAAGAGTGTCAACCAATGCATTGGAGAATACGGCGAACATAAATAAAGAAACAAAGTTGCTTGTCAGATTTCCCTAACAAGCAACCATATTTTTTAAAATAAGCCCAAAAAACCGCAACCCGGGATTTTTTTACGCAACTTTACAAAAAAAGAAGTCCAAAGTCGCGTATAATACGCGGATTTGGCAACTATGGCTACAGGATGAGATAGTGTGGAAATTGATAATGTGTGTAAAACTCATTAAAATCCTCAAATGTAACCTAAAGATCTGCTTAGGATAAATTGGCAATGAATGTTAGATCATGTGAAAACAAAATATTGAATTCTGGAGAACATTGCCAATGTCAATGGCAGGAAGGATCAACTCAGTGAAGATGGTAGTACTCCCATGATTTTTGTACATTTTTCAGTCACTCCCTTGTTTTATCCCACAAAGTTTTTTTAAGCAGATAGACACAATAATTGTACCTTTTTTTGTGTGGATTATTATTATTATTATTATAAGAATGTGAGAACATCAAAGAAACATTTATGCACAACTAAAAAGGAGGGAGAGTTTGGCCTGCCACAGTTCAAATATTACTACTGGGCAGCTAATCTAAGTATTTTCACATGGTAGAAAAAGCGGCCTTCTGATACAGATAGAGATCCGTCCTGGCTTAGAATGGAGCAAGCATCTTTTGCTGCTCTTCTTAATAGTTTGTTAGAATTGACCCGGCCTTATATGATAATCCCTTTATTATAAATAATGCGCTGAAAATATGGAAACAGATTAAAGCCTATTTAAAGGTTCCCGACATGTACCTAGATAGTCCTATATGTCAGAAACATGCCTTCTCTCCTGGTTTGCTTGATTCAGGTTTTACACAATGGGAGAAGAATGGCATTCAAAGAATAAAAGATCTGTATATAGATGGGACATTTGCCTCATTTGAGCAATTAAAAAAAAAAACTTTAACATCAATATTTCTAATTATTTTAGATACTTGCAAGTTAGAGATTTTGTGAAAAAACAGATGTCAAATTTTAATGTGATGGCAGAACACAACGTACTTGAAGAAATTAATACGTTTAATCCTTTGCATCGGGGAGCTGTGTCATGTTTCTATAGTATTCTGTTAAAACATGAAGTAGTTGATGAAGCCCAAATTAAGCAGGCCTGGGAGATAGAATTAGGTTTAGAGATCGATTCAGACAGTTGGGAAGAAGGCCTTGAGAACATACATACCTGTTCAATTAATGTAAGGCATAATTTAATTTCCAGATTTCAAAAGTCGAGCATGTGTAATTACGTAGCACACGATCCCAGGAGTCTCTTTCTCAAGTCATCAGGAGCAGCATGATATGTTTGTTTCCAACGAGCACATTTTTGATGCAAATGTCTTGGCGGCAGAGCAGGAGGTGAGAGGACTTGAGAGGTCAAAGTCACAGGAGAAAGTTGGGTTATCGTAAAAAAAACAAACACGCAGACCCCAAGGGCAATTTCTGCCCTAATATACCATTTTCCCCTCAAGACACACATAACCTCAATGCTAGATGATTGCCAGCACAATATGAAAGCAGCCATCTCGAAGTCACCTTTCCATAATGAAAAGAAGAGAGAAGTCAATGGTGAAAGCACAACATACCCTATTACATACATTTCCTATTGTTGTCAGTAAATAAAATATAATTATTTCATTCATTCATGCATTCATTCATTGCTTGACTGAAAATTGATGTATTAACAAACATTGGTTGCATCTGTCTAACTAGTAACTAATAGCTGTAATATGACAAAGCAAATTACATGTTGCCTATTTTACTAAAACGTCATTTTCAGTAGGCTATAAAAAAGTAAAGTAATTAATTACTGGTCAGCATATATTATTATTAATGTGAGTATAAGTGTTGGGGTGGGCTAGCAATGCGGTTCATTCTGGTGTAATCTTAATTTTTTAAGTAATAATAATACCTACATTTTTCAAGTTTAGAATCAACAATATTTTTTTCAAAGGCGAGATCCTCGAGTAATCAACATCTCCTTTGTGCAGACATTGCTCTCGGATTCTTTTTGTAAATAGGTTATGAACACGTATCTGCATTGTTGGCATGCTAGTTAATAGTTGCGTGTATCTTGCTGAATCAAATAATACCCAATTTCTCCATATTGGCCATTTTGGGTGTCAGCTATTTTGAATTTAGCGTAAAATGCTGTATTATGTGAACGAATTATTAGCATATCTTTACGAAACTCAGTATGTGTCAGCGGGACCATACTCTGAAGGTAGCCTACTCAAAAAGTATTGGAACAGTGCAACTTTCTGGGCAAAATTTATAATGAAATTTCAAGAAATGCTTATAGCTTTTGATTAATTTTGCCAATTTTAATGAATCTGGTCGATAGATTCCTTGGATCATCCCAAGAGCACCGATACCAATTATGCCATATTCGGTCGAATTCGCAGTACGCCATGTTGAATTTATTTGCAAGCCTACTTTTTCAAACTCCTTCTATCTGTCTGTCTGATTTTCACCAAAATTGGCTCAGATCATTTTCAATCCATGCCAAATCCAAAAGGTTTTCGATAGACCAAACCATTTTGGAATAACACACCAATGAACTTTTTGGCATGACGCCAAGCTGATTCTGAGGCTGCAACTCTTCAATCCTTTGGCATATTAACACAAAACCTCTTATGTGTTATTGTCATCTCACACTGACAACACCATAATAATTTGATAACAGTGCCACCTATTGGTCAAAAGTGATAAGCAGGTACATTGTATTACTACTTAAAGGTATTAGTGATTTTTTCAGCCATTCTGACTATAATAATGTAAAAAGGTCTCTATCCAGTCCACATTATCTTTAAGGTGTCTAGTATTAATATATGAATTCCCATATATTCAGTTTTGTTGAGTGTTGTCACAGAATGAGTAAACATGTTGATGGTCACAATAGTGACCGGTGGGTTCACAATGCATTTAGGTATAAATATAAATCCAATTGCAGTTGTTAGTGAAGGTTGCACTAAACTAAATTAAAAGTTCAAATGTTACAAATTAAGTTACAATATTGATGGTGTAATACTGGCAGCACTAATATAAAAATCTGATGATATATGTTACAATAAAGTAACAATTTTGAAATATGTTGATGGTTGTATTTGTTTTTTTATCTCAGTATTACTATCAGTGTTGTATAAGGGTTTTTATGCATAATAGTAACCCTAGAATGTGATCAAACTGTTTAAAATAGCTGGGCTAAGATATATAACAATTTTTAGAAATATATTAATATATGAATTCAGTATACACATTATCCCACCGGTCACAATTGTGACCCGCCATAAAACACAATTTTTCACACACTTTTCCAAAGAATTTAAAAAAAAATAATTATTGATTATTTCAAAGTGTTACTAATGACACATCATTTGCATATTTTCATGTCTGGGAAAAATTTGGGATTAAATGGGTTAATTGCTGCTTGCAGCTTTATTTACTGTACAATTATTATTATTAGTAATATTAGTTTTATTGTTGTTGTTGTTATAGAAACCATAAAACCATGGTAATGAGGAGCATGGTTTTTGTCATGATCTTACTAATACTTCATAATTTAACTCTGGATTCAAGAATTACAGTAGCTTTTCAACTACAACTACAAAGGAGAATTTAATAGTTCTAATAAACATTAATTGAAGTAAAATAATAAGAATCTGCAATATAATGTAATATTATTATTGGTAAATGCATTTGCAGTTTATTCAAAAATATCTATTTATTATTTTCTGTCCTTTATTTATTAATAAATTATTTATTCCAATTTAGATGTTCTAACCCCAGCAAAACATTAATGGAGGATCATGTGGGCCGGATCAAGTCCAGCCCTGATGATTCTCCTCTTCTGGGGCCAGAAAGAAGACTTCTAATAGTAAAACTATTCTAAGTGGACAACTTATTATGCTCAAAAGTTGCTGCTGTGTTGATGTTGGATCATCTTCAATCACGCTGGTTTAGCTCCAGTGCCGCTGAGACACACCAAATACTGACAAAATATGAAATTCTCATGTTTCAGGGTACTTGTGAATAAATAGTACAAAGATGAAGCGGTTTGCAATGATGGTCTGTAGCAATCGATCCAGTAACACTGAACCCGTAACATTCCTAGCAGAGTTTAGAGAAACAAATAACTTCTGCCCGGTAACAGGAGCAGCCACAACCCCCGATTTATTTCAACAAAATAGTGAAAATACAGTTTCTATAGTGGACTCTCTTCTCAGCTGTACATGATCGGAAACATTCATTTACAACAAAACATACGATAAAAAAAAAACGTTATGCTTATATATCATTAATACAATCAATGCTGTTCGTAGCAAAACAACACGCACTAAAAAATAACAAAAAGAAAAGCATCTGGGTCCAAACAGGTAAAGTAAATGATAAAAATGTAATACTCCAGTTATGTCCCTTAATATAATACATTTATTTGTTTCATTTCAACCCTATACATCTAAGGTTTAGTTCATGTACAAATGTATCTTTTTGCTTACAGAGAGCAACGACTATTAAACCATTTGCATTCTATACAAAATGTCCCGTCCAAAGAGCATGAGCTAACAAGGAATGAAAATGCACATCTAGCATATAAATATATTTTCCCTTGACAAGCAGTATCAATCTCACTAACTATGTACAACGACAGGAGTAGCAAATCCAATAGCTGAGACTGTACAAATCAGACGACGCATCCGCACCATCCTTATTGCGTAAAAAAACAGGCAGCGCAGCACGATGCGCATTTCAGCGAGAAGAAACACTGTAAACTGAGAATGTGTGTAAACACGTCAGATGCTGAAATCAAGCGTCGCCGACGAACCGTCCTGATCTCACAAAGCTTGTTCAACTTCACAAACAAACCAGAAGAGTGTGCATCGTTAAAGTACCATAGAGGTTTGTCTCTGAAGCATATTTGATCTGTGTTGGATGCCAGAGGTGCTGCATGCACACGGTGTGATGCTCTATCAAATCTGTTTTCTCCGAGAGGAACTGAGCGGATGGTGAACAGTGCATGACAGGTGAGTGAAAAATAAGACGTCAGCTTAAGGAAACATTTGGAGAGACGGAGGCGGCTTCTTCACCGGTCACTGAAAACTTCCGTCTCGAGTTGTTTTGTCGTTGAATGACCTCAAAGATGCTGCAAAGCTGAAGAGTACCTTCTCTGGCACGAACCTGGAGTGTAAAGCATGAGTGTCCGTGAAGCGCCGACGTCCGGTCAAACAGCAGAAACCTGCTCATCTGAAACACACAGGAGGACAAGCACATGAAGTTGAGTTCAAACCATCACTGCTTCGTCAACACTGACTGACGGCAACGCTATTCACACTCGATGGCACTAAAACGCATCCAGGCCACATTTCACCCCAATGTAAATAAAGATAAAGGACTTATAGTTTGTGTAAAATAAAGCCTATTTTGTACGATGACTGGCTCATTCAGTTGGATTGTAATGAGTTTGTGCACTCGCTGAAGAAAAACGTATCGTTCAGGGTCCGTTCACACAGAATTCGCTACTTTTCTATATTTTATCTATGTAAATGCGCTAGATGGACGTGTATGACTGTCTTGTGTCTTTTGCAGCGTCTCGCACATAAAGTTAAAAGAATTTAAACTTTTACATGCAGCACCACACAGCAGACCCCAGAGGCGGAGCAAGTGTTGCAAGCTTTTGTTTACAGTAGCAAGTTGGCATTACAACTGTTTTAGATGCAAAGGCGCTTTCTGTGTGAACGGCCCCTTACACTGTAAAGCATTTCTATATCACCGTAGTAGGTGAATAATATATTAACAAACCCTTCTGGAAAACCCTTCAAAATTAAGATAGGAATAAAACTGTAAAGTTTGGTGTACGTAAGTACTGCTGAAGTGGAGATTTCTGGCTCAGGAATCTTTTAAAGATATGTAACTGAAAACTACAGACGCAAATAGATGAAGTGCATTAAAATAAACTCCCTGCAGTCACTAGTTCTAGCCCTTAAAACTCAGCGTTGTTAATCAAACTGACATTTTTTAAGTTTTTTTCCCCAGTGAAAATAATTGCTTTAAGCCTGAAAATGGCTTGAATGTAACTCTACACCCTTACCTCATTTAGTCATGAATATGCAAATTAGCCCTGCTTCCAGCCAATCACTCCAGCTCAGACTACCTTCTCCACTTTCACTCAGTTAACTGTAGTATTGGCAAAATTGCATTAATTCAGCCATATACAGTATGTTTGAAACAGAAACTGATTCTGAAGAACAGGCAGAGTGAATTATCCTAATTTACAAGTCCATGTATCAGAATTGTAATGCATTTTATGTATCGCTACCTACAATAGCAGAAATGTAACATAATTGGCTTGACTACAGCTAATAATGTGTTGCTTCACCAAAGGGGGCCTTTAATTCTTTCCCCGCCATTGACGGAATTTTCCAGCTTTCCGTGTTTTCACTGTTATACAGTAGGGGGCGTTATTACGCATCTTCTGAAAGAGAGCTGAATCTCTGGATCAAAACACGACGAAGAAGCAGCAGAAACAAGCGATCACATATGTAAGCAGATGCATACATAAAATAACGTGATCATTAAACAGCATATAAATCAAACCTGCCTAACTATACAGGGCTCTACAGTGCGACCATTTCCTTATAAAATATAATTTTTTAAAGAATTTGACAGATGATGACATACTTTTAATAAAGTTAGAGGAGTCAAATATCACCTCGTAATGGGAAGGCTACTTTTTGATAACATTTTGGATAATTGTTTAGAAGGTGCTCCTAAAATTTTGAACGTGCTCCTAAATTTTTTAAGTTAGGAGCACAAGTGCTCCTAAAAAGAAAAGTAAGCGTAGAGCCCTGCTATACCAAGTGAAATGTCAACCTAGGAAGGACTGTGTTTAGGACCATGAAGCTTTGGGGGTGTTGATGGAAGCAATCAACTCCATCTGTGTTTTGATCATCGTTCTGAATCTGATCCAGACGTAATCTTTGACAAAAACGTGATTTTCTCAGCTTTTTGTGCAAAATGTTTTTTTTTTTAATGAAACATCCACATTCAAGTGTTGATTAAAAAAAAATGCATGAAGCTAGAATAAAATGTTTTTTTTGTTTTTTTTTAAGAGCAGAGGCTCTGTTCTTTCTTTTAACATATTGCATGTTCAGATATTCATACAACAAAATAATCCTGGGGGCCATGAAATTTTTATGAAAATGATCAAAAATGCTGCCTTTAAAAAAAAAAAAAACGCTGGCGGGGAAAGAGTTAAAAAGGTATTTTAGTTGCTTTCTTTCCATTAGTCTGAAACAACACATTACAAAAAGCCCAAAATCAGAAAATTGACCAATGCATGAAAAAACAATGTAGTGTCCTGCCTTAATATCAGCTTCACAAAATATACTAGCGTAATGTAGAAGTAGTCAAAAATCATATTTTCGTAGTGTAAGATACCATTTAGTTGTTCGGATTGAGGGGTGAAATGTGAGCCGGACGTGTTTCTCTGCCCTGCAGGGTTTGAGCACATACCCTCCTCACTATCAGCGTGAGAATGGAGAGTAACACTGGGTGGTCTGGACAGGTTGGGCTCGGCGAGACTGTGTCGCAGCTTGCACCTCTGCAAGGCCACGCTATACTCGGGCGGCTTTACGTGGGTCGGCCGCGAGGCTCCTCTGTCCTGCGCGTCGCCCAGCGTCAGGCCCTGGTAGCCCGGCGGAGTCGGGGGCGGCGCTTTGAGCCTATCATCTTTGCAGGGTGACGTTACACAGTACACTGGCAGGAAGCAGGCGGAGAGGTGCAGGAAGTGACGTGATGAAGGGGAAGGAGCACAGAAAGAAACAAAACACACACAGACACACATACACAGACACAAAGCAAACATTAATGAATGAAAAGGGGTACGTAAATCAAAAAAACGTTCACTAAGACACTGACACAGCTGCACCAATCACAACACAAGCAGATTTGCATTAACCCTCAGCCACTTGACACAAACAGGGCACAAAACACTTCTTCTTCTGCAGTAAAATATGTTTCTGATAGAAGAAAATGAAATAAATATAATGTAAAAACGACACGGGAATGTGTCATAGGGTCGTGGGGACTAGTAAGTAGTTTATAGCTACTGATAATGACATTCAATAATATAAATATAGTTGTTTAATCATGTGTGTTCTTGCTGACAGGACTGAATAGACACAGTCACTCTAGGATAATCACTTCCTGTTTGACACAATTTATAGAATGTTCCATTGTTTTTCAATGGGTGGAATTTTGTGTTAACAGCTGAATGCTTTTGGTCATTAAAATAAGTGAATAAAGAATCATAGTCTTCTATTATGACTGCTAATTAAATTTAGAAAATGTTAAACACATATGTGACCCTGGAGCACAAAAGCAGTCTTAAGTCGCTGAGGTATATTTGTAGCAATAGCCAACAATACATTGTATGGGTCAAAATTATAGATTTTTCTTTTATGCCAAAAATCATTAGGATATTAAGTAAAGATCATGTTCCATGAAGATATTTTGTAAATTTCCTACTGTAAATACATCAAAACTTAATTTTTTGATTAGTAATATATCGTATATATAGTAATATTCTCAATATTTAGATTTTCTTGCACCCTCAGATTCCAGATTTTTAAATAGTTGTATCTCTGCCAAATATTGTCTTCCTATCCTAACAAATGTTACACACATCAATGGAAAGCTTATTTATTCAGCTTTCAGACGATGTATAAATCTCAATTTCGAAAAATTTACCCTTATGACTGGTTTTGTGGTCCAGGGTCACATATTAGACTTTTAGACAACTGGCTATTTTTATCTTAACACACCAAATCGTATCTAATAATATAAAAACTAAATAATAAATAAAGTTTGATAATACTATTATATTTTATCATAAAAAAGTGAGTATTAAATAAAAACACAATTATTTTATAGCAGGCTACACTTAAAAAATACAATCCTAATATTTAAATTTTTATATTTATTCATTCATTAATTAATTCATTTATTTGAAGTTTCATCCTTTTCAAACCTAAAACAGGCAAGCTTTTTTTTATGTGCATCCCTGACTATAAATACAATATAGCTAGATCTAAATCTGGCGGATCACTCATATCATCGTTAAAGATCATCATATCACCTAGTACTAAAACTCGCTCTGTTAAAGCACTGAGGCATTATAGACACAACAGTATGACTTTCTGTAAAGCTGCTGTGAAACCATGTGTATTGTAAAAAGCTGTATACAAATACATTTGACTTTGTCACACTATTTATTCGATTATTAAGGAAAGAATTGGAGGAAAAGAAGCAATGTTGCTGGTGATTTTGCTTTGGAACCTTCAGAAAACTTTAAATCAGTTTTTCTCTAAATTGACTTTGCTGACTTCAAACGGGTGTCATTTTTCGTCAGATTCCAACAAATCATACATTATTTGAAGGTATTTTGATGTAAAAATAAAAATAACTCATTTTTGAAAATGTGCTCATTGTGACTCATTTTGCCAGAAATGGTCACATATTTCACTTTGATTAAACGCATCACATGGTTACGTAACACCAGTTTGTGCCCTATTTGTGGAAAGCGCAGGACATCCTGGGTTAATCTTTCTACTGATTTAAGTGTCCTAGAAGCATCAAGACACAAACGAGCCAGAAGAGCTGCACATTTGTGACCCTGGACCACAAAACCAGTCATATTAGGGTCAATTTTTTGAAATTGAGATTTATACATCATTTTGGCATAAAATAAAAATCTGTAATTTTGACCCATACAATGTATTTTTGGCTATTGCTACAAATATACCCGTGCTACTTACGACTGGTTTTGTGCTCCAGGGTCATATTTATCATCTAACGGGAGGACAGTGAAATCTGCTGGTGTCACGCGCAGAAGCCGAAGCTCACCTATGAGTCCCTTCTCCGTGCTGGACGTGATCGTCTTGTACGAAGCGTCTGTGCTTTGCTGATCTTGCGTCTTGCGTTTGATGGTGCCGTAGCTGCCCTCGTAGGTGTCCGACAGGGAACTGGAGGACGTCCAGCTCTGTCTGGACTGACTGAGCTCAGATCCGTCTCTGGAGCAGCTGTCCTCTGGCAAACCCGGGCCGATCTCCACCTCGGCGATCGGGCCGCCCATGGGCGTGTGGCGATGGTTGAGCAGGTCCAGAGCTCGCTGGCCTGAAAGAGTCTGGAGGTTGTCGTGGGAGTTACTAGAGCAGGAGGTCCAGCTCCCGCGGCCGCTGTCGGCCAGCTCAGAGATGGAGGTTTGCTCGGGAACCGTCAGCTCCTCCGCACTGCTGGAGAACGTGAAGCTGGTCTCCCTCACGACAAGGTGTTGAGCTGAAGATGAACTGGGATGAAAGAAAAGCACAGTGACTAAACATACATCGCAATCAGCTGCAAAACATGGTGCACGTTTAAAATATTCTGTAAATGTTTTATTCAATATATGCTGTACACATGAATTCAAATTGGTTTACATACTAATTTATCAATACACACAAATTAGCATTTGAGTGATATTAGATGATAATCATGTGTTTAAAGAAAGGCAATTAAAAGATTTTGTGTCATTACTAGTAAAAATGTGTTAAATTTACATTTAAAAGCAGATGCTTTTATCCAAAGCAACTTACAAATGAGGACAACAGAAGCAATAAATAAATAAATAATGTTCCCATCCTTCCTGTGATGGGCAGAGTTTACATTGAATTAAATGGCAGATACAGTTTGTTGTGTAACCAAAATACCAATAATATCCAGAAAAAAAAGAAACTATGCATAATGTGGTACTTTTAATCATAAACAAGCCCAAAATAGACCAGGACTATTATTTTGAAATGCTTTACTACTTTCAACTGCTAGGACTTTTGTTATACCATTTAACAGAGTTTGAAGGTAAATTTAAGACCATAGTAAAAATTTTAAAACCAAGTAAAGAAAATGTAAGAAATAAATCGAATGGAACACAATAAGTCAATATGGTCTCTAAATGTCAATGTCTTTAATTAGCAATCCTTCAAAGTTTGAAAATACAGTTTTCAAAAGATCTCCATTACTTTTTAATTCATTTGAAAATATATTTTTAAAAAATATATTAAAAAAAATTTTTTTTTAAAACTCTGCTCCCAACCACTAGAATATGGAAATAACTTTTACTTTACCTTCTGATCACACTGCAAAAAAGTGCTGTTCTTCATCAGTATCTTTGTATCGTTTTCAGTGCAAATGTCTAAAGACTCTTAAATAAGATACACTTACTTGAGTAGCAAAATAAGAAGTCTCGGTTTATGAGAAATTGAACAAAGTGAAGTTTTGAGTCTATGATTAAAACAAGAACAGATATCGGCCTATGGGTTAAGAAAAATCAACTTAATTCCAAGGTAAACCATAAACTCACTTCATTTTGTTCAATTTCTCAGAAAACAAGACTTCATATCTTCTAATTGCATCTCAAGTAAATGTATCTTGATTTAAGGATGTTAAGACATTTGTATTGGTAAGACAAGACAAAAATACTGAGAAAGATATACATTTTTACAGTGCATGCAACATTTAATGCCATGAATTTCTGCACCGATTTGAGGCCTTAATTTGTGGAAGGGTGAATTGAGACTTTTTAAGACCCTGATATTTCACTCTTTTTATGGCCTTAAACTGAATGTAAGCCTTTTTAATGAACCCCTGAGAATGTTTACTCAAACTCATATTACAGCACAGACATCATGAATCCAGCAGAAGCGATTCGGATCAAGCTGTTTTAGCTCGAGACTCTCTGAGGTGTTGTGGGATGCGCTACCTCGTGCCGGGCTGACTGCAGTTGGCTGGAGTGTTTGCGGGCGTCTCTGACGGGACGCTGACGGTGGGCGCTGTGGGCATGGAGTCCACGGAGCCGTTACTGACGATGCTGGAGCGCGAGGAGATCTCGCTGGAGTCAGACAGGTCGGACCTGACGGCGGGCAAGAGTGCGTAACCTATGAGAGAGAGAGGAGACAGAAGATCAGCACATCTGCCGTCACTCTCGCAGGTGGGATGAGATTTAAATGCTTAGTTTCATGATCAAAACATATAATGCAACGATGATTGAGAGATGAATAAATAAACGTTCCTCAAGAGCCTGACGATCAGATTTGAGACTCACTGATTTTTCTAAAAAATGATGTCTGGATAATCAAGTAAAGCGAAGCTGCGTCAGTCCAGTAAGTGTTCATCTTAAAATATTACGAACAATATCAACATTTTTCTTATGTTTACATCGCTGAGCATGACACAGACCCAACGGCGCAACGCAAACGTCTGCCTTTATTACACAACTGATGGAAAACTCACAGTCGGATCATTACAGAGAAACAGTGAAGAAGAAGAGTCTGACACATGAAAGCATACGGTCCTGATCCTGTCATCATTCACTCACCTTCTGTGAAACCAACACTGATGGTTTTGTGCGGAAAAAAAAAAAAAACTGACTGAATCACACGTTTAACATAATCGTGCATACAACCTGGCACAACTTTTCTTGACATGCAACTTCAATTATTCAAATGCACAGATGAATCTGAAAGAGTGAATGTGAATAAATGACAGCAGGATCTTCATCTCTGGCTGAACTACACTGATGCGGAGGAACATGAACAACACATTATAACCAGTCACACAGTTGTCCTCCTCCTGTGTCTGTCTGTCTTCAGACTGTCTGCCTGCAGCTCATCCTGTCTCACTGTCCCAGCTCTGTCCCTGGACTTGCTCCTGTCTCTCAAGAGTCTGAAGGGGGACCTGAAGCGCTTGCGCGTCTCTTCCTGTCCCTGTCTGCTCTCTTCCTGTCTGCTGCTCTGACAGGTCATCCTCAGGATCTGTCTCTGAAGGAAAGCCCCACCTATGCCATACGAGCGTCCGCCTGTGGTCCTGACGCCGACCTCACTGGCTAGAGACGAGGACGAACCCGACAGGTTCAGCTGACCGCAGTTCTGTCTGGGAGCTCCGCCCACTGTGAGGGAACGATGGGAATATTTCAGAAACACTGAAGCTTGAATCATGAAAGACATGATTAACACTGTAAAGCCTGACATGTGAAATAATAGTCAGAAAACTGAAACAGTTTACTGAACCTTTAGACAAAAAGGTTTTGTCTTATCATATTTAATACATCAGGCCTTTATGGCTCATATAGTCTGATATAGTGAGAATAGGGAGAGGAAAAAACAGCTCAATTTTATTCAGAGATCCAAACTGAGCAAAATATTTAATTTGGTGCAGATGCTAATATTTACATGGACAAAAGTGATGAAATTCTGATGCTTGTAAGGTAAACCAATGAGATCTTTATAACATTATAGCAGAAACTTACATAAAATGATATAAACATCAGTCGTCACTCTATATCTCCAATAATATGTCTTAGTAAGATGAGATTTAAATGCTTAGTTTGATGATCAAAACATATAATGCAATGCAATACAATGATTGAAAGATGAATAAATAAATGCTCCTCAAAAGCCTGATGATCAGATTTGAGACTCACTGATTTTTCTAAAAAATGAAGTTTGAATAATCAAGTAAAGCAAAGCTGCTTCAGTCCAGTAAGTGTTCATCTTAAAATATTACGAACAATATCAATTTTTGTCTTATGTTTACTTTATAAAAATCTGTAAAGATGTCACGGCAAAAAGACGGTGGAAGGTGGATGTTAGTACAGTTATACTTTTATTATAAACTATCACTTTCATCAAGTTTTAATCCTGTTGATAATTTAGAGGCCTTCGAAATCTATGTATCAAATATAGTTAACAACTGCTTCCGTTTTGAGTAAATGAATGACAAGAACTTGAGAGCAACTACTGAGCTGAATACAGCTGAACATCAGAAACTGTGTTTATTTTCAGGGTTCCCACTCTAAGCCAAATTCCCTGACTTTTCACTTCCATGACCTATAATGAACGGAAAAACGCTGTTGTGCGGAGCAGACAAAAACCAGCCACAGACAGTATTTAAAATCCATCCATTTGCAAGCTTTATTTACTTGTTCACAGACGTTTTTAACGTGTGCTTAAATTAAACATACATACACACTACTTTTTTTTTGTTTTGTTTTTTTGCTTTTACCTGTTAAATGCACTTTGTACTATTTCTACAGAAATTAATTTATGGTTTTTATGCTTTCAGGGTTTCAAGGATTTTCTGTTTGTCCACCATTTAATCTTTTTATTTCTTCACATTTAGTTTATCTACTTTTAACACCCAGTCTTTGAAGTGTTCATTTTGTAGCCAAAGCTCTTGAAATGTAAATTTTCCTGGCATGTTTGCCTTAGTTAACAGGTACAGCCTGGTGACTGCATTTGACTTAAGTGATTGCCAGTTGATGAGCAGAAAGGGAATAAAATGATGCTGAAAAACAGCGGCCTAACCATAACAATAGGCAAAACGCATGAAACAACGCAATAAAAAAAAAATACGGTATAGAAAAATTTTATTTGATAAATGGAAACTAAAATTTAAAGCGACAAATAAAAATCCCTCCCTGATATTGACTTGGACAAAAAAATTAAAATACAATAAAATTCCCTGACTTTCAATGTCTGGAATAGACCTTTTAAAATTCCATGATATTCCAGAAATTCCATGCCCCGGTGGGAACCCTGTATTTTAGTTTTACAGTATCTGATATACAGGTGACTGGAGGTTTGTCGGGGTCGTACCTTTGCGAGGAGATCCCTGTGGGGAGACGGTAGGACTGGAGTGCAGACACGAGACGGTGGCCGTGTCTTCGGCCGCACCAGCTGCTTTCTTCAGCATCTGAGGTGAGTTGGGACCTGAAGAGCACAGCAGACACTGACACAGTTCAGACAGCAGAGGGAGCCATACGGCTGTCTCACTACACGCTAAACCATGATCACTTCCTGAGCTGCTAGCCACATGCCCTGCGTCCCAATGTTCATCCTATCCATCCTAAATAGTATGTGAGATTAGAATAAGTGTGTCCCAAAGCATAGTATGTTGAAAAGAGTATGCCAAAACTCCCCGGATGGTCTGCTATTTCAGGTCGATTTTTGAAGTGTGGATCCATGCACACTCTAATGGATAATATTGCCCACAATCCATTGCGCTTTGGCTAAAGATTCAGTTCAGAACTACCAACACGAATAAAACGCGTTAAAAAAATCCTACAAGTATGACGGATGTGCGTGACCGACGGTTTATGCTGCATTCCAGAAAACTCGAAATTAGGATTTTTCCCACCTCCTACTTGGAAATAATGTCTAGAACACTGCTTGAAGTCAGATATCCGACCTGTGAACACACGGATGTGCGTGACCGACGGTTTATGCTGCATTCCAGACAACTCGAAATTAGGATTTTTCCCACCTCCTACTTGGAAATAATGTCTAGAACACCGCTTGAAGTCGGATATCCGACCTGTGAACCCGGGGCAGATCGCATAAGTAGAGAGGTTTAGATAAAGGGGTTTGAGTTACTAATAATCAACATTCGTTAACTTTTAAATGCATCATTATGCAAAAAATATGAGCATAAAGACCCACGGCTGGCAGATCAACGTGCTACTTCTTTTCTCTCCAATACGGTAGGAAGTTAAATTAAACGAAATATGGAGGATGTTAACTGTGACAAGATGATTGACAGGCCAGTTTACAGTGACAGGGTGCGTGTATCTATGCGTCAGAGCGTCTGTTAAAGACGCAGTTATGTGATGTGATAGTATGTCCCAAAGCTTGCCTACTTTTCTACTACATACACAAAAGTGTGTATTTTTCTTCACCAAAAGAGTGAACATTGGAACGCAGCAATGGACTCTTCCATACACATAATGAGGTTGTGCTGCTGTGGTTATTTGTATCATCACATTCATTTGGTTTGATTTTTGCTACTTTTCTTGAGAGAGATAGTGAAGACAGAACAGGAAATGAGGGTGAGAATGTGGTATTATCGCTGATGAAATAAAACACCTATTAACTTTTCCGCACTGTCAAATATGATTTTCTTACTTAGTTTTCCATTACAAATATTTAAACATTCCTAAATCTAGATACAAATATTTAAACATTCCTAAATCTAGATACAAATATTTAAACATTCCTAAATCTAGATACATTAAATTGAGAAGTAATGTAAGCTTGAAACGAGACAAAATATCTGTTCGTTTCTCTTTGGATTAAGTTTATGTTCCTCATCTATTTATTGACTGATTGTTTTTCTTGTTTCAAGCATAAACTCACTTGATACAGAAAATAAGACCTAATATCATAGGTCATTTTTCTTAATAAGTATATCCATTTTGAGTTTAGAATTTCAGACATTTGTAATAGAAAATAAAACAAAAATACTGAGTAAGAAAATTATTTGATACAATTATTGAACACAATTTAATAAAATTTGATGATCTGGTTGATTTTGAAATTGCACAGATAATGTATAAAGCAAAAAACAGTTTACTTCCCAGAAGTATTCAGAGACTGTTTGAAATGAGAGAGTCAGTATAAACTTAAGGGTAAAGAATAGATGAAAATCTGTCAAAGGGGTGAAATTATGGAATAACAATGAAAAGGAATTCAAAATGTGTTTCTAAAAAGAGTTATAAATAAGGTTATAAACAAATATGTAACTCAAAATGAATAATTTGCATATGAAATACTTTAAACAGTTGTATTAATTTATAAAATGTTCAATAATGTATAGTATAAAGGTCTTAAGAAATGCAATAAGTTTTGTTTTTGTATCTTTTTGTATAATATAAATTTAGTAGAGGAAGTGATGCTTATTATGAAAAATGGTAAGTAAAATAAGCTTCAGCTTACGCCTTTTTGGTTACAATGTGAAATTATTATGAAACTGTGTATGAGGACTGAACAAATCTAGATGATGATGATGAACACAGTCAGACATGCAGCATGTAATCTGTCACTTCAGGAAGATTGCGATGGGCCACGTACCGAAGGATGCGGACAGGTCTTTGGCGATGCTCTTCTTGCGCAGAGGGTACAGGCTGACGGGAGGCACCTGCAGCACCTGGGAGACGCGGTTCTGAGGCTTGGCTGAAGACACACCGGAGCGCACGGACACCGGGGACATGTCTGATTTAGTGGACCGCCGCTCGCTCAGGTTCTTAGACACTGCGGGGAAACACACACAACACTTGCTGTCAGATGTTTCATTTGGAAAGTGTGTTTGTGCATCTTTCTTCAACATCAATGGCATTCAGATATGTGAGCCTGGAGCACAAAACCAGTCTCAAGTCGCTGGGGTATATTTGTAGCAATAGCCAACAATACATTGTATGGGTCAAAATTATAGATTTTTCTTTTATGCCAAAAATCATTAGGATATTAAGTAAAGATCATGTTCCATTAAGATATTTTGTAATGAACACAGTCAGACATGCAGCATGTAATCTGTCACTTCAGGAAGATTGCGATGGGCCACGTACCGAAGGATGCGGACAGGTCTTTGGCGATGCTCTTCTTGCGCAGAGGGTACAGGCTGACGGGAGGCACCTGCAGCACCTGGGAGACGCGGTTCTGAGGCTTGGCTGAAGACACACCGGAGCGCACGGACACCGGGGACATGTCTGATTTAGTGGACCGCCGCTCGCTCAGGTTCTTAGACACTGCGGGGAAACACACACAACACTTGCTGTCAGATGTTTCATTTGGGAAGTGTGTTTGTGCATCTTTCTTCAACATCAATGGCATTCAGATATGTGAGCCTGCAGCACAAAACCAGTCTCAAGTCGCTGGGGTATAATTGTAGCAATAGCCAACAATACATTGTATGGGTCAAAATTATAGATTTTTCTTTTATGCCAAAAATCATTAGGATATTAAGTAAAGATCATGTTCCATTAAGATATTTTGTAAATTTCCTACCATAAATATATCAAAACTTAATTTTTGATTAGTAATATGCATTGCTAAGAAATTAATTTGGACAACTTTAAAGGTGATTTTCTCAATATTTAGATTTTTTTTGCACCCTCAGATTCCAGATTTTCAAATAGTTGTATCTCGGCCAAAAATGTACAAATCTATCCTAACAAACCATACATCAATGGAAAGCTTATTTATTCAGCTTTTAGATGAGGTATAAATCTCAGTTTTGAAAAATTGACCCTTATGACTGGTTTTGTGCTCCAGGGTCACATATACCAAATATAAAGCTGAGAATAGTGCTGTATGAACCATTTGTTTTAAATACAGTCCGAAGATCTGCTGAGAGGTTTGGAAATTTGAGTCTGGAAAAGTATGGAATTTTGAAACGGAAAATGTGTAGAACCCTGGGAATATGAGTGTGTGAATGAAGTGTTAATGATGAATGTCCACCTCATGCCTCCCACAGACAGATGCCCGTATGAGCTGGCAGCGTTCTGCCCGCAGCGCGAGTTCACAAACGCCACCAGAGAACTTTAAAGATGATTTTCTCAATATTTAGATTTTTTTTTTGCACCCTCAGATTCCAGATTTTCAAATAGTTGTATCTCGGCCAAAAATGTACAAATCTATCCTAACAAACCATACATCAATGGAAAGCTTATTTATTCAGCTTTTAGATGAGGTATAAATCTCAGTTTTGAAAAATTGACCCTTATGACTGGTTTTGTGGTCCAGGGTCACATATTTATTTGGGGGACTATCCGTCCTTGTTTCATGCCACGATTGGTCGTATTGGTCATACTGCTTTTCAGTCATTACCTTCCGCAAGTATTACTTTTTTTTTTAGCCAATTTAGAAAGCCTAGCCAGGACGTATGGTCACCCTACATTTATTAATGTGACTGAAGAGCCCAAATACCTTCTTTAAATGCTAGGCTATAGTCAGGGATGCAAATAAGTGGTGCGCAGGTGCGCAAGCACAACCAAAGTAAAAAATGTGCTGGGTAAATAAGTTCAGACTGCTCATTTGCATACTGACATGGTTGACAGCTGTTAATGCACAATCACCATGTTAGATCGTCTGATTGTAATACCCTACAATATTTCCATTTGAACTGAAAGCATAAATCTAGGCTTCTGTATGTTTTAGCGCTGTCGAGTGAAGCGCATAACTGAATGAAGTGTCACAGTTTCACCTTTTGCTCTAAAGTTAAAGTTTGCTAATTTTAAGTATGGAAATTATTTAAATTATATACAGTGGGTACGGAAAGTATTCAGACCCCCTTAAATTTTTCACTCTTTGTTATATTGCAGCCATTTGCTAAAATCATTTAAGTTAATTTTTTTTCCTCAATGTACACACAGCACCCCATACAGTTCCTTTGACCTCATGATTCTCATTTGCTCTGACATGCACTGTGAGCTGTAAGGTCTTATATAGGCAGGTGTGTGGCTTTCCTAATCAAGTTCAATCAGTATAATCAAACACAGCTGGATTCAAATGAAGGTGTAGAACCATCTCAAGGATGATCAGAAGGAATGGACAGCACCTGAGTTAAATATATGAGTGTCACAGCAAAGGGTCTGACTACTTAGGACCATGTGATATTTCAGTTTTTTTTTTTTAATAAATCTGCAAAAATGTCAACAATTCTGTGTTTTTCTGTCAATATGGGGTGCTGTGTGTACATTAATGAGGAAAAAAAATTAACTTAAATGATTTTAGCAAATGGCTGCAATATAACAAAGAGTGAAAAATTTAAGGGGGTCTGAATACTTTCCGTACCCACTGTATATATATATATTTTTTTTTTAAGTATTAAATATATAGTTTTTTTAAAGTAAAAAAAGAAAAGAAAATGAAAATTAGCATTGCATTTTTAAGTGTAATATAAAATAACTATTTATTCAATACTCACTGTGCCATACTATTACAATGAAATGCACAAGTCGCTTTAATATTGGTTTTTAGGTTTCTTTTAAGACTAATTCATCTCATTTTTTATGTATATTTATTTAGTTTTACTTAGTTTTTTATAAGTGTGAATGTAGATGGATATAGTTGCATTTCCATGAGAGATACGACATTTTGTTGTATGCAACATGCAATGACAATAAAGGTATTCAATTCAAATACATAAATAAAGTGCAATAATACTACTATTACTATTATTAATTCTTTAATTTTTTTATAGTTATATTTAATGTGTCATATTATGTGTAGTGTGAGCACCAAATGCATCCCTGGCTATAGTAAAAAAAAAACAGTTCACACATTTCTACCCTATTCGAGATTAACGAAAAGAACCCAAACCACTTTACATAACAAGCTCAGTAATTCACAGTAATGTACACACGTGTGCTGTAGGCCGCTTCACACTGCAGCGACATGATCTGGAACTTCTCCTCGTCCGTCTCCACCTCCAGGTGTGCCAGGTACTGCTTCACCTTACGTGCCATCTGTGCGTCCTCGTACAGCTTCTTGGCGTTGAGCAGAGAGCTGCGCCGCACGCGCTTCTTGTGACTGCCCTGAACGTCCAGCAGGTTCGAGTTGGTGCTGCCCTGACTCAGAGACCTGAGGAAACGGATGAGGAGTGAGACCAACAGCTGACAAACATGCCAGGTGCTTCATTCCCATGGGCTGATGTTCACTAATAAATGGGAGGACAATCACAAACAGAAAAAAGACAGTAGCATCCACAAAAGTGGAATTGTGTCACAAATAAATGAAACTTGATGATATACAACTTTTTTTCTGGTCTTGCAAAAGAAAAAAATGCAAAGTCATTTTTCATGTATAGTTTATGAGCTGCTTGCATGTACACTACCGGTCAGTAAGATTTAATAAAATAATAAAACATTTATTCAGCAAGGATGCATTAAATTGATCAAAAGTCATTTTATATAAAAAAAAAGACATTTCTCTTTCAAATAAATGCTGTTCTTTTGAACTTCCTATTCATCTGTGAATCCTGAAAAATAAAAAGTATCACGGTTTCCACAAAAATATTGGGCAGCACAACTGCTTTCAGCTTTGATAATAATCAGAAATGTTTCTTGAGTTGCAAATCAGCATATTAGAATGATTTCTGAAGATCATGTGACACTGAAGACTGGAGTAATGATGCTGAAAATTCAGCTTTGATCACAGGAATAAATTACATTTGAACATATATTCACATTGAAAACAGTTACTTAAAATTGTAACAATATTTCACAATATTACTGCTTTTGCTGTATTTTTTATCAAATAAATGAGCATAAATAGCCTTGGTGAGCAGAAGAGATGTTTTTCAAAAACATTACAAATCTTAATTATTCCAAACTTTTGAAATACTTTTTGTATTTGTAGAACTCTATTTGTAAAAAGTCCTTCCATTTATTTGTGAATATGAAACATTAAACCTCACATACTTGCCACTCTAAGCAAACAATGACTACAGCAGCGTAATGCGGCCATGCAACGTGCTCAGTTCCATTAATGCAAAAAATACACAAATAAATCAAAACCGACGACCACGATGTGTTATGTGAATCAATGGCTTAGAGGATGAGAGAGAGGAAGGAAGAGTTGCAGGAGTTGGTGTGTCCAGGTTAATGGTCATGACACATTCAGGACATGCAGGGCAGCACACTTACCCTAAACTCTTCCACCTCTTCTTCCTGTAAGCAAAGCCCATGAGAGGCAGAAAACAGGTGAACAGAAAGAGAGAAACACTCAGACAGACAGAAAGCACCACCAACAAAGACTACACTTGATCCTACCAGAGAAAGAGAGAAAACATCTGCTGCATGTGTGCAAGCGACTCGATGACAATGACTGAATTTGACATCCCCATAAGAGTGACATACCATTAGAAAGAAAACAACAGTGAATCGTTCCCAATAAGAGCTGGAACGATTTTGATTTCTTGTGGAGTTTCGGTTCATGCTCTTTGTGCATGTGTGCAAATGTCTGCAGTCTTCACCTCTGTCTGAACATGAGCGCTGGGTCCATGTTGGCTGACGTCATGCGCACCACATTTCGTATCTCCTTGGCGATCATTCGTAACTTTTCGAAATTCACCAGGCCGTCAACACTCGAATCGTTACCTGAGAAAGATAAGAGATGAAGGACAGTTATAAGACCTGACTCATGAAAAGTATTTTCAACAACGCAGACAACATGTGCAGAGCTGGGTAGTAACTGAGTACATGTAATCTGGATCCAAAAGTAATCGGTCTTTGACCCCAGAGGGTTAATGTTTGTTTATGTAATGCAGGGATTCCCAAACGTTTTTGTCAGCCAAACTCCTTAAAATAAAATGTTCACTTAAAATATCTCTGAAGAAGTAAATATTCCAATAATTTAACAATTTGCAAGTTTACAGTTCTCTGATGCCTGTTAATGGTCACTGACATGCAGGTGAAACAAATAAAATATTTCTACTTGTAGTGATCAAGTGTTTATTTACATTTTTATAATTTAATTGTTAGTTTTTTATCAACTCACCAACCCACAGCAGTTCTTACATTAAGCCCAGTTTGGGAAACCGTTATGAATTATTTTGCCTTGTGGATAATTTAGAAATATCCATTAGAGGGCTCTACAGTGCGACCATTTCAGTTGCAATTGCAATTAAAAATTACTGCATGCAAATAAATATTTGGGCACACCAGTGTGAGTGACCCGATCTAGGGGGTGCTAGAGGGTGCACCATCTGCTGAAACTAATAATAGCATTTGCGAAACAGATTTTGCAAACGCTTCAGTCCAGTGTGTATGCCTTTGCACTCTGGAAAGCCATCAAAGGTTTCTATTTACAACATGCTTTGCAGCACTGAGCAATGTAGCCAATAATATCTGTTGATTTCTTGAATACAGTGGCAATCAGAGATGTTTAAGTTAAGTCACACTACAGGATTTTTAGCCCGATTTAGCCCCGATCTTCTCCCGAGAATCGGAGGAAAAATCTTGTCGAGAACCTCGATCGGCTTCAGTGTTCTGCGCAGATTATCTGGTAATGTGAGGCGTTCACAGATCGAATCTTGCACCTCCCGATCTGCTCGCACACAAATCGGGGCCACCCCGATTATATCAAACATGTTTGATATTTAGGATTTTAAATCGGGATGATCACGGCTATGATTACGTCAGTACTTTCACAATAGCCAATGCGCGACCGCAAAACAAGCTGCTGCAAGGTCCATTGGATAGTGGAGATGGATAAAATGCTTGTGTAATTTTGCAATAACACGACTGTCTGAATAATGTGTCGAAAACGTATCACAACCGTAAGGGGAAAGAGAAGCGCTGTGGTGATATCGCCTCAGTTTTGAATGTACCAGGTGAGTGAAAGGCTGCTAGCAGGCTAGCTAACATATGTAAACATTAGCTGCTAAAACGTCAATCACGTGCGCCGCTCCCTCCGGCACAATAATTTTAATTATATCTTGTAGTGTGTGATGCTCCACGATTTTAAAATCTTGTAGTGTGTGCATGTTTAAGATTTGAGGGTAAGAAAATCTGCTAAGATTCTCCTTATGTGTATGCTGCAACCAGATTTCATAATCGGTTAGGATTTTAAAACTCCTGTAGTGTGAGCCCGGCTTTAGGCAGAATTTTTTTATGAGCTAAGTTCTGTGCGCTTGTTAATCCTCTCATTATAAGAAACCAAGTGTTGGCATGATGTAAATACGAGATTAATTGTGCAATGTAGAGCATCACTGATTATTACAGAAGTTTGTGAGATTCACCTAATGATGGCAAACATGGAGTTGAAGTTCTTGCACTCGCGGCAGTGCAGGGCGATCTTGATAAAGTGCTTGATGGTCTTCATGCGTTTGAGTGCGTTGGGCTCGCGCAAAAGCTCAGTGGCCACCCAGAAGGTCTCCTGGTTGATGACCTCCTCAAACTGCTTCAGGTGGCTGCTGCCTCCACCGCCGGGGTCCCGCTTAAACAGGTCATCCACATACTCGGTGGACTCGATGTTACGGAACAGGCCAAAGTCTCTCATGGAGAGCTGCGCAGCCACCTCCACTGTGCTAAGCTGCAGGAGACTGATCTGACTCTCCCTCAAGAGCTCCTGAGCGTCTTCATCAGAGCAAAGCGTCTCTGTCTCCATGTTGTTCTTCAGGTAGTACCTGGTTAAACACATGAATGATGGGATTACTATATAGGGTTGGGTATTGTTTGGGTTTTTTACGATACCGGTGCCAAAGCACTACTTTTAAAACGGTACCGGTGCTTAAATGGTGCATAATGCAATGCTTACATTTTAATTTATTTATTTTTTACCCAAAATAGGATGGATAAGCCATTAGCGCGATAAACACATTTATTGGCTGTTTCATTCATACTGGACGCCAGAGGGCGCCCTCGTGCAGAAACTCCACATATGTGTCACAGAAGCAACAGAACTAATGGCGTTCAAGGAAATCCCTAATATGGGCAAAGGCATTGCTATCGTAACAGTAAACAGAAGATATAAACGTTTTGAACGATAAAACAAAGACAATAAACACTCGACTGCGACAATGTATAGTTTATCTGTGTTATTCAAGCCATCTCTGGTATTTTCATAATAATTAATTATATTTATAATCCATTGCTAATCGACATAGCCTTTTTACAGTATAGAACATTTTCTGCCTCATTCTGTGACAAGAAGCCACATCAGATAAAAAAAAAAAAGCATTTGTTGTGGAGTAAAAACGTTATAATGTTCTCTTTTGTTGGACAACAGGTTTAGAAGCTCTTCTCATTGCAAGTCATTACAAGGGAAGTTTAGCTTTAGGCAATTTAATTTAAGCATGTTTAGCGTGTAGTGCCTGTAGTGTAGTGTAGTTTAGAGTTGTGCCTTTAAGTCGGAATGTGAAAGCAACATGGACACTCGCGTTACTACAAAGATTTGTTGCATTTGTTTTATTAGAGCTTTCCGACTTGCGTTCACATGCAGTTTCTCAGTCAGGAAATTATGCTAGTGATGATGCTTCTTACGTCCGTTTCTGAAAACCAGAGGACAAATATTTCAGTCGATTGCTCAGACATTTAAGTGGCACCAAAATGAGGCACCGAAATCTGCGTTATGATTCGGTTCAAGTACATATCGGTTACATAGGTACCGGGTTTCGGTACCAAACCTTATTACTATATATAGTGTGTCTTTTTGGTCATCAGCTTTGGTCACGTCTAGGGCTTTGCAAATAATCGAATGCGATTATCATGCGCATCTCGTCAGTAAAGCCGGTTCTGTAATCAGTAGTAAATCTCCATCCCGTGCTTTCAGATGGAGCAGCATTTACTACACAGAGCCGTAGTTCACTGACAAGCTACGCAATATCGCATTCATAATCGCATGCGATACATCGAACCAGCTTTACTGACGAGATGCGCATGATAATCGCATTCGATTATTTGCACAGCCCTAGTCACGTCCACTAAAGTCTAATCACACAGAGTACATCAACATGTCTCTTTTGTGGCCGAGGTGCTGGTTCTGCTCTGGTTCCTGTTACCTGCCATTGAGCTGGATGCGGTCCGCTAGTTTTGAGAGCTGGTCGGGCAGTCGGCGCTGTTTGATGACTCCTTCAGGACTAACGGAAACCTCACACAGCGAGTAGGTCTCTGGAGCGGCGATTAGGCCGAACTCGCTGACCACATGCGAGACGACATCTTTGGCTGTGGTGTCTTTACTGATGATGATATAGCAGCTCTGCTGGTCGGCCTTGAACACGCGGATCACCTGATCTGGAATGTCTGTTTGTGTCAAGAGGAAAGAGATGGAGTTAAACACAACACAGGTGAAGATGCACACATATTCATAGCAGGGCCTAAACCTCAGGTGAAATGAAAGGGGAGGTCAATGGCTCAATGACGAGATGTTTGGCTCAGATCGGTTTAAGCGGTGGGCTTCCACACTATTTGAAGATGAAGTCTTATTGGTTTGGAACGCAATCCATCACACATGCATTTTCACATGCTTTTGGCCATTGAGAGTAAAACATTTCATGCCACAAACCCCTGATCACGTGCAAATGAGTTCAAAACGTGTACGTCGTGTGTACTTACAGTAGAAACCAGCCACTTCGAGGAGCCAAGAAACACACAGAGAGTAAAGACAGAGAGAGAGAGATGACACATGACACTCCAGAACACATGATCCACCAGCGGACACATCACAACTAATTTAGAGATGGCCTCCGCGTTATGAACGTCTCTCGTACCGAATATCACGCTGCATATAAAAGGGATAGTTCAACCAAAAGAGAAAATTAAGTCATCATTTACTCGCCCTTGTGCTGTTCTAATGCTGTATGCCCTTCTTTGATTTTCGGACCAGAAAAGGAGAATTTTTTTTTTTTTATTTAAAAAAATGCACATACACTTGTCCATGGCGATCAGCATCAAGCTTTTTAAAAAAGATGCAAAAGTATCACCGAATGATCCTATACAACACGTGCCGTATATTTCAAGTGTTTGGGGGGTATAGGATAGGGTTTGGTGAAAAACAAACCAAAATTTTATATATTATTTAACAAATGTCCTGACCTTGACAGTTGGTCTCTGTGCACGACTGTGCGTTCGTGAGACTATTAGCACCGCAGTTCACTCCAGTTCGCCCAGGAAAAGCACACAATTTGTGAAAAAATCTAAATCAATAAAAATACAACATTAAAATGCCTAGAAATCCCCAAAAAAGTATGTGTACTTTGTTCACTTTGTCTAATTTCTCTGGACAGGAACTCCAGTTGTCATGACCGTCAGAATGAGTTGAGAGAAGAAAGCACATGGATTGTATTTCATGTCACATTTTTATTAATCTTGATTTTTCACAGTTGTACACAAAGACCAAAGTCAGGATATTTGTTAAATAATATGTTAAATTTCAGTTTGTTTTTCACTAAACCCTATCATATACCCGCAGAACACTTGGAATATACAGCGTGTGTTGCATGGGACCTTTCTGCATCTTTTTAAAAAAGCTTGATGCTGATCACCATATACTGCCATTATATAGACAAGCGTGTGCAGGGCAATTTAAAAAAAAAAAATCTCCTTTTGTGGTCTGAAAAAGAAAGAAGGGCATACGGCATCAAAACAACACAAGGGTGAGTAAATGATAAAAATAATGATTTTCATTTTTGGTTGAACTATCCCTTTAACTTTAGCTGGTTTCCACATTCCTGTGAAGAGGATCTGAAACCAGCCCGCAAGCTTTCATTTGAACATTTACAGGAATCCTTCCCAGCATCCTCATATATTCTAACTATATCTCTATTTGCATGCAGAAGGTTTTCAGAGCTTGAAATAAGGAGCAAATAGCATCAGGTGCACTCATCTACAGAAGAAACCCTCCATTGTGAAAAAAGCACACTTTGGCATAACTAAAATGAGCACTCAATATGGAAATAATATACTTTAAAAGTGCGAACTTAGTGTAATGATTTCGTTCATCTAATTGAGACTGTTATGGCGGACTGATGACAGCTCACTCAGGGCGGGTCTGTGATAAAACTAAAGACTGACGCCACTGTCAATCAACAATCGTAGGAGGGGCCTGGGTCTGTGTGACATCACACTGGCAGGAATCTGAGAACGGCTTGATTTGATAAAGGGGTAATGATTTTAGGAGATTATAAAAATCCACTGGGTGGATTTTAATCATTATAGGGTGGTTGTGTACACACACTGCCAACACACATTTATGTTCAAACAACACGTAAAAGTGCATTTCGCATCCATTCACCCCTTTAAATGCAATTAGATGAACTTGAACTACTTGATTAGATCAACTTAAGTAGGACTAAACAGTGGGACAATCTGTGAATTCTGAGCAAATATTGTGTTAAATCAAGCTTTGTTTAACTTCAGCTCCTGCACCATATTGAAAATTTGATACCGGTATATCCCTAATGATGACATGTGTCTATGGTCGTTATATCAGCTGCGGGTGGCTGAACTAGTGCTCCGATGGTGTGATGTCTTACCTGAAGGGTTGGAAAAGTCCAGAGCGCTGGCGGCGGGCTGAAGCAGGTCAGGACTGCTGGATGACAGGCTGCCCGGGATGGGCATTATGGCCACACTGTGCCGGCACTGCTTAGTGCCCACGATACTGTCGTCCTGAGACTGAGACATGCCACCGTCACTGCAGACACAGAGAGAGATGGATTTCATTCAACACTAACATTGCATGTCAATAAACACACACACACACATACAGATAGATGGAAGAGATTTTCACATTAGGGTTTCTGCAGGTTTTACAAAGGTGAATTTAAGTGCTTTCTAAGACCAAGTAAAGAAATTTCAAGGAATAAAAGAAATGGAACTCAATACATCAGTATGGTCTCTAAATGTCAATGTATTTTATTAGCATTGAAAATTCAACTTCCAACAGATCTCCATTACTTTTTAATTCATTGCACTAAATAAAAAAAAACAAAAAAAAACATATGGCTCGATTAGCTCTGCTCCAAACCACTAGAATATGGAAAATTACTTTTACTGTACCTTCTGATCACACTGCAAAAAACAAAAACTAAAAAACTGATGTTCTTCCTCATTATTTTTGTGTTGTTTTCCAGTGCAAATATCTGAACATTCCTAAAATGACATATGTCTTGCTTCCAGTGAAATTGACCAAAATGAATTGAGTTTATGATTAAAACAAAAACAAATATCTGCCAACTGGCTCGGAAAAATCAACTTAATTCAAAGGGAAAACTTTTCATACCCCAATGATAGGTATCTGTTCTTGTTTTAAGCATAAACTCGCTTAATTTTCTTAAATTTCTTAGAAAACAAGACTTTTATGTACAATTTGCATCTCAAGTAAATGTGTCTTGATTTAAGAAAATTTAGATTTACGACATTTATTTGTATTGGAAAATGAGACAAAAACACTGAGGAAGATATGCATGTTTTGCAGTGCTTGAAACATTTAATTAAAAAGCATAATTATGAGATAAATTGACAGTCAAAATTTAGATAAAAAGTCATCAGATAAGTCGAAGTTGAAATATACTATATCTTAATAATGAGATTTAAAAAAAATTATGAGATAATCCAGCTATGACACTAAATCATAATTATGAGATAAAGTCTGAAGTAGATAAAAAGTCTTGAGATAAAAGACGAAATTATGATATCGTCGTAATTATGAGAAAAAGTAAAAGTTTTGAGATAAAAAGACAAAATTTTGACATTTTAAGTCATAGTTATGAGATAAAAAGTCATAATGACACGAGTCAATTCAACTTTTCATGTTATATTGCTCTATATTAGACAGGCTGCAGCGATAACTTTGCGTGAATGGATTGTATTTGTGACTTTTTAAATGTAAGACTTTCTGCTCTAATTTAAGACCTTTTAAGGCCTTAATTTGTGGAAGGGTGAATTGAGACATTTTAAGACATTTTTAAGACCTGCAGAAACCCAGCACATGTACATTTAGGCCGTTTTCACACTTGATTGACTGAACGGGACGAGCCAGACCGAATGTGGATTAACAACTGGTTAACATCATCCAGGAACTCTTAAGTGATGTCAAAGGAAAAGTGAAGATGCTTTAGAGAAAGTCTTGGAGTAACATAACTGATGAATTTTTTTGCTGTTTACACACGCATTCATCTCCTGCAGACATATTGAAATGTATACAAAGAATGTGAGCTGCTCGCCGATGGCCATGAGAAATGCTGCAAAGTAGAAGCAAACTGTGATGCCAGAAGCCTCAGTGTGAAAGTGCTCTAAACAGACACAAACACAGAATGAACACACACACAATCCATGAATGAGACACGAGGCTGAGATGAGCAAACGCAGCAAAAGAAGGGCAAGAACACGTGACGTCTCAGACGAGAGGAAACAGCGCTGTCTCATGGGTAAACTCCATGCCAATCAGACGCTGACCTTTGCACAGACGGGCTAATTAACATGCTGCTGTCTCACTATCAGAGCAGAGAGAAAAGACAGACGATCTGCTCTGAGAGGACAACATTGCCTCTCCATCCATCACTCGAATCCATGACATTATCCTCATCAACACATCTGATACTGCAGGAAACATCAATACAAGTGCACAAAGAACACCCCAAACTACTGTAGATACAAAGCACATCACTCAGATACACATGTGTGCAAGCCCATTCCCACCACAAGAAAAACATGCTTTAGTAAACCACAATCTTGAGATTAAAAAGTCAGAACTATGAGATAAAATTTAAACTGACATGCTATGCCATAATTATAAGATAAAAATCATATTAATGAGATAAATTGACATACTAAGTCAAAATTATGAGATAAAAAGTCATGAGATAAGCTGAAATGAAATACTGGATCTTAATTATGAGAAAAAAAGGTAAAATTATGAGATAAGACAAAATTTTGACATTTTAAGTCATAATTATGTCATGACATACCATATCATAATTGTAAGTTAATAAGCATAATGAGATAAACTGACATACGAAATTTTGACATTTTAAGTCACAATTATGAGACAAGTCAAGTTATGACATGCTATGCCATTATTATAAGTTAAAAAGCATAAATATGAGATAAATTGACATACTAAGTCAAAAATTATAAGACAAAAAGTCACAAGATAAGTAAAAATTGACATACTATATCTTAATTATGAGATAAAAAGTCAAGTTATGACACCAAGTCATAATTCTGAGATAAAGTCTGAAATAGTTAAAAAGGCATGAGGTAAAAGTCAAAATCATGATATTGTCATAATTATAAGATAAAGTAAAAATTCTGAGATAAAAAGAAAAATGTTTGACATTCTAAGTCATAATTATTACATATAAAGTCATAATGACACCAGTCAATTGAACTTTTCATGTCATATGGCTCTATATTAGACAGGCCGCAGTGTTAATTTTGTGTGAAAATATGGTATTTATGTTTTATAAAAAAAAAATGAAACACTCGTACCCACTGTATATTGTCTTTCAAAAACTCAAGCACTTTTCAAGCACCTCTTCATAAATATGGATGTTTCCAAAGGTTTTCCAGGTATGGGGTGCTGTGTGTACATTAATGAGGAAAAAAAATTAACTTAAATGATTTTAGCAAATGGCTGCAATATAACAAAGAGTGAAAAATTTAAGGGGGTCTGAATACTTTCCGTACCCACTGTATATTGTCTTTCAAAAACTCAAGCACTTTTCAAGAAACTTACATTTCAAAAAGTCAAATTCAAGTACTTTAAGCACCTTGAACAAACCCGGTTTCAATTTTGAGACTGAAAATTTTGGGATTTTTTTTTTTCTTACGTGGCAGAAATGGGCTTCCGTACACATGGGTACCACACACAAGGATGGAGATTTATCGGACTCTGAATGAGACCTACAGAAAGTGTGTGTGAGTACAATCATACATACTACACAGAATATTACCAGAGTATTACGCTAGTATGCACTGCCAGGTCCTGTGACAAACAGCGCTCGTGATTTCACAGAAACAGGAAACGAAAAGAATGACTACTACACAGGAACTGTGACACTGCACTGTTCATCTACATAAAGAAAACATGTTGACCAATGACAGACAACACCTAACCAGGCACGACATGATACAACTGCTCTCTTCTTCATCAATTACAGCTTTAGTCAACATGTTGCTCGTTTGTGCCATGATATCTGTTATGTTGTGCTGGGTGGCTCCGGTCAAAAATCCCATAACTGTATATTAAATGCCATGCTCTGATTGGCTGTTGGAAATGTTGTACCTGGTTAGGATGTGATGCAACTCTTTATGAACACACAGGAAAAGTGTCAGTGAAATGTGTTGTGAACATGCACAATAAGAGTAAGGCACAATAAGACACTTGGTATGAGGATGAAACAACATGAAACACAATGTTCACGCAAACAATCTCTTCTGGCAGAGGTCGTGCTGCACTACTCCCAACATGATGACTTTATGATTTTTTCATAAGAGAGAGAGTGTTTCTTACCCAAACAGTCCCCTGTGCAGTGAAGCAGCCATAAAAACAGAAGACACGTGATGTCAACTCGTACAAGCATCAAGCACTCAGGTGAACCACAAACACATGCCCGTGAAGTGCTCAAACACACACACACACTCACACTCAGTCACACACACCTACCGGGCTCACCTTAACCCACCATCCAAAAATAAAACATATACTGTGCATGAACAACATGAAGCATGTTTTAGGACATTTAGATCATCTACAGTGTCATTGCACCATGTTCTAACTAGACACAGGCGATAAAAGAAATCTACTTGGGAACGGTTTCTATTTCTGCGATATTGCAGCTGGAACGAGAACATACAAACATACAGGTGTGTCCAATGCTGATTATGTGCTTTGTGTAATTCTATTCTATTTCTATTCTATCAACTTGTTTTCTTTTTATTTATTAAAAAAACTTGACCCACTAACACTTGCACCCTCTATTCTATTTACTTGTTTTCTTTTATTTATAAAAAAAAAACTTGACACTTTAACACTACCATTCTCTTTTCTTTTTCTTTTTCTATTCTATCTACTTGTTTTTTTAAAATTATTATTATAAAAAATACCTTCACCCTCTAACACTAGCTCAACTAGCTATAAAATAAATAAAAATAATAAAAACCTTGCTTACGTGTACTGTGTTAGACTAACCGGGACTTTTCACAGCACTAACATATTATTGCTCTTTTGTTGGTTTGATTGCTTCTATTGTTCTCATTTTCAAGTGGCTTTGGATAAAAGTATCTACTAAATGATTAAATGTAAATGTATAATTTTAAATAGGTTTTAGTTATTATTATTTGCATTATTTTAATAACATACAGAAAAAAACAATGGATATTTTACCTTAGGTCTTGAAAATGAAAGGAAACAAGAACTTTCAAACTGTGTACAAACACGTGGACTTTATGACTAGGATTGTATGTATTTTGAGATAGTATGTATTTTCATGTTAAATGGTTTAATTTGATTATTTTATGACAGTTGTGCACATTTTCTCAACAAAATCATACAAGGGTGTCCAAACCTGAAGAGTCCAGCTCAAACACACCTGCCTGAAGTTTTCTCAATAAATGAATTATAACATCTGGATTAGGGCTGTCCCAAAATTTCGAATTTCAAATAAACGTTGCATTCGAATTTTAGGCGTGCGTCAGGCAGCCTTATCAGTGGCACACAAGATGCGATGACGATGTAAGTGTCATTGCATTTTAATGCTTTTTTTAGCCTATCCAGTTGAACACACTAGATGTGGTGCTGCTACGTTGTTCATTCAAAATATAGTGGAAAAAGAGAACATCAATGCGGATATGTTGTTGTTTACGTCAAAACTGAAACCAAGCCGTTCACACAGAACGCATATTTATCGCATTTTCTAGAGGGACATCTATCACCGTTGCACTCGCGTCTTACACAAGAGAGCCGCATGTTTAGAAAGCCATGCAAAATTAATGTAAGTTCAACTTTAAAAAAACATGTCTCGAGACTTTCCAGTGGTTTTTCCCCATCCCACTGCATCTCATGTTTTTAAATAGAAAAAATAAAATTTGTGATTGTTTTTTTTTTACAATTTGTGGTTGGTTGTGATTCGGTCCTTTGTATTAAACTATACATACATACATGATGCTGTTTTGTTTCTAATTGTTTAAGCAACTTAATTAATTATATATGGTTTATAAACATAATTTGAAGCATTATGCACTTTTTTCAAAGATAGTCGTGTTATTTTATTGCTTGAAATAAATGTGCATTAGTAATATTTTGCTCGATGCGCTCTCTTGTGGCCTCAGAAGAGAAGCCAAAAGTTTTTTCCCCCTAACTGAAATTATTCCTTTTAAATTCGAATATAATTTGAATATTGATAATATTTAAGTACAAAATTCGAATGTAGTTTTTCAGCCATTTTGACAGCCCTAATCTGGATACATTACAGCAGTGAAAAATGTGCTTAACTGTCATGAAAATAATGGCACAACTCTTTAATTCTTCTAAAACACTGATTTACTTTTATGTGGAATGATTGTGGGATGAAATATGAGTAAAACATGTTTTCATGAGCTCCAGTGGTGACCGGTGCATCTGCTTCCTCCATCCTCTGTTCAATCGTGGAGACACCAAACTGATGGATGGATGGAGGTCTGTTTAAACCCTGTGAGAGCGTGAGGATGTCATGCAGTGAAACGCCTCTAGAGACACTAAGAGCAGTAGCTCACGTTCTCAGTGTGGCGGCTGACAGATGCCAGTCGTGATGCTGATGGAGGAATCGTGTAACTCCATGAACATGTTGCTCAGGACATGAACGAGGCGATAAGCAGCGAATGGAGGCTCATGAGAGGACGTGAACTCAACTAGACTCTCAACCGTCATCCACTCAAGAACGTGTCTTTACCTGAAGGGCTTTGGAGGCAGGATGCTGAATCTGGTCTTCTCCAACATCTTACGGATCTTGTTGCGTCCTCCAGACACTGTGTTGGCCTTCATCTTCTTGCGGCTCTTGCTGTCCGAGGGAAACTCCAAGTCACCGGGCAGATCCGGGATGGAGAAGCGGTTGCTCTTCCTCTCCTGAATCTTAGGGATGTGAGGACCACCGTTCTTCTTCTCGTTCCTCACGCGGCTCTGAAGCTCTTTGAAAACTGCGACAAAGTCAAAAACTTGGTTACACTTCAGTTTGTAACTATTAACTATGACTTTTGCCTCAATAAACTCTTAATTTGCTGTTTATTAATAGTTAGTAAGGTAGCTGTTAAGTTTAGGGATGGGATGGATTAAGGGATTAAAAAAATGCTAATGCAGAATAAAACATTAATGTGCTTTATAAGTACTAATAAGCCAATATGTTAGTATAATGCATACTAATAAGCAACTATTTAACAGTGAGAATTGGTCCCTCAAGTAAAGTGTTACCAAATGTATTTGTATACAGCTTTTCACAATACACACGGTTTTGTAGCAGCTTCACAGAAAGTCGTACTGTTATGTCTATAATGCCTTCGTGCTTTTTCAGAGCGAGTTTTAGTGCTAGGTGATAAGACGATATTTAACGATGATACGAGTGATCCGCCGGGTTTATCTAGCTATATTGTATTTATAATGCTGTCTAGCACATATATCAGTAATTTGGACACATGTTTGAGCATTCCAAGACAATTAAGAGATTTAAATGTTGGTTGGTTTTGTTCTAATAAAGTGCCCCTTTATACTTTTTTGGATGTTACCTTTCAGATAATTACCATTCTGTCTGTGAATGCAAAAGGTCTGCATAGTTTCAAAGATCAAAGTGCACAACAACTGGAGTTATTGTGTTCCAAAATAAAGAATCGATTCTGAACTGCCTGAAACGAGTCGTCAGTGATTGTATCATTGACATGTCTAGAAGACGCTGTTTTCTGTGCTGCGAAAGCAAAAACACTTTGCAGGATGAAGGATGAGGATGTGAAGAGTCAGTGGTTAAATTCATTTTTACATTGATCCTTGACTGTTTCAGGCACTGTGAGAACAGAGGTGATGCTGCAATGCATATTATGAGAAAATTAAAGTGTTGTTTAACCTCAGGTGCATGTAAACCTAATGTAGGAGACCTCCAAAACAAAATTAGGAACCTTTAAGACAGCATAATAGGGGCACAGATTTAAATGTTGGTCGGTTTGTCCAAGCTAGAGTAAGTGATTAATAAAAGCATATGTTACAGTCAGGGGTGTGTGTGCATCTCCATGTATCTGCATGGTAACAGCTGTTGTTTCCATCTACAGATTTTATTTGAATTTTGATATAACATAAATTTCAGAATGGAGATGCAATTTTTAAAATGTGCATGGGCATGTATGTGCTCGCTTGAAGCAGATAAATGATTTATTTGGTAAGCAAACATGCTCTTAAACGGCAATGGAATCACATTAACTGAAGTTGCAAGATGCATATAAAAAAAAAAGTCATGTGATTGCGTTTAATACAACAGCAATTCCAACTTTCATTGTCATAAGTGATCATTTTAATCTTTTGCACACATGGGGTGGAACCGCTGCTTTATTCGCCAAATGTTTTTCTGAATTTTTGTGGTGCTTCAGTTTTTTAGTTTTTTGCATTGAATTAAATGAGCAGCTCAGATGGAAACAGCTACTTATCGATCAGACTAAATGACGTCATGGTGCTTCCACAAAATTACTAAAAGAATCCTATCTACAGGCAACTTGTCATTTTCTCAAATTCAAGAAACTGCGTCGCAGATCAGGAAACTACTTCAACACCTCATAACACCTGTCAGCCAATCAGCATGAAGAAGTACTGTGATATAAGAATGATCTGTGACATACCGAAGATGTTGGTCTTCACAGTAAGAGAGAGGTGTGTGTTGTTCTTCAAGATATCCATGGCTTTGGAGTACGAGATGTTCTCAAAGTTCTGCCCATTGATCTCCATGATCTGAGGACAGATGAGGCGCAATGGGTTCATGCTGAAATACTTATATGGTAAGTGTTGTTCAGTGCAGAGCGCGTTCCTGTAATCTGTACCTGATCTCCACGCTTGAGCCCTGCTTCTGCAGCTTTACTGGCCTCCTCCACAGTCTCCACGAAAATGCCGAAGCTGCGCTCACTGCCGCCCTGAACCGTGAAGAACAGCGGAGACTCTCTGGATGGCTTCTGCAGCGTGATCTGACGACACTTGGCTTTAGCAGCACACGCGATGTTCAGCAGACGCAGATGACCCTTCATTTTCTGAGACACAATTCAATGAAACGCATATTTAAGAAATATATCCACTCCTATTTATTCATGATACTGTACATATGCTCATAATCTGTAAATATTCTGATACTGATATAGCTGCCTGAGAGGCGTTTTGAAGATGGCCACTGAGTGAAATAACTTGCCTTGAAGGGGTTTTAATAATCTTTTGTTGTGCTTTAAAGAAGTACGCTTATTTTGATGTGTTGACTAACATACTAAAATTAAAGTACTTGATTATAATTTTAACTGCAGTGTTTTTCGATATTACATTTAAAGTTAATGTTTTAAATGTACTAAATTGCAACTTAATCATTTGCAATTACAAATGCATAATTACAAATATATTTAAATGGAATTACAGATTATTTCATAACAGGGGTTTATCATATGCTTGTCAGTACATTCAGCAGTACACCATATTCGAAAAACAATAATAGAAATAATTATGAAATTGCATATATATATATAACAAAGATGTACTTAAGTCCTACTTAAGTGGGTCAAAAAGTAACTAACAGTATTTAATATAAATGCAGTATATAAACTACAATACATTTTCATTTAACAATTTAACTAAAGTGACATTCATTCTTTTAAAGTATATCAGAGTGCTCTTTTTTTAAAGTATGCTACTTCTTTTTCACAAGGATTTCCAGGTCTAGAAATCCCTGATATGTCCATGTTTTTCTCGACCGTAGGAACCCTGTTTTATTGAATCAGTCTGTGTTTGTCTGATGTTGACACTCACCGAGGAGTCCAGCAACTTCTCAAAGTCCTCCAGGAACTGAGTCATGACCGGATCGCCTTCAAAGTCGTTGAAATGATTGTTTACCCACAACAACACGATTCTCGTCACCTGCGAGATCCCAAAATATGTCAAGACATGCAATCTATTATTTACCACAAAAACAACACTGTAAGAAACAGAAAGACTGATGCACACACATACTGACCGTCTCTCTGAGACTGTCCACTTTGAACCATTCCAGAAGTTTCTTGCCCACTTCCATGGGGCTGGACAGGAATGTGCGGTACGTCAGGAGGAAGTCCTCAATGTAAGTGGGATCCACCACTGACGGCTCCTCCACCAGGTGCATGATCAGACGCTCAGGAGTGCCCTGATACAAACAACACAAGAGCACATGATAGAGAGCATGCATGCAGATAGGAACCTGCAGACAGGGTGGTTTCTATGCAGTTGCTAGGGTCTACTCTGTAACAGTGTTGGGTAGATTACTTACAAATTGTAGTTTGTTACTGATCACAGATTACATGATGAAAATTGTAGTTAGTAACATAATCTAGATTTGTCATTGTAGAGAATGTATTCGTACTTTTTTTTATCTAACTTGTTTTAAACTTACTATTAATTGTAACATACTGATATAAAAAAAAAATTATATTCCATTTTTTGATATCAACATCATAAAATGCATTAAACATTACATTACACTGGGGGTTTCCCAAACTGGCTTAATGTAAGAACTGCAGTGGGACACTTGAACACTAATGTTATATTTGTTTACCTGCATGTCAATGTGACCATTAACCGACATCAGAGAACTGTAAACATGCGAATTGTTAAGTTATTGGAATATAAACTTCCTCAGAGATATTTCAAGTAAATATTTTATTTTAATGGTTTGGCTGACAAAAGCGTTTGGGAATCCCTGCATTAAATGAACAAACATTAATGAACATCAAAACACGCCCAAAGTCTTCCAGGTCTTTAGTCCAGACTTTCAGAATCAACAGTTACTGAAGGTCACTGGATATGATGATGAGTCATTGTGTTTCACAGCTATACATCACTGGTGTTTTTAACATTTGTGAATATAATTCAAGATAAATGGTATAACACACGGTAGGATTTTTACAAAAGAAAATTTAAAAGAGAATGTAATCCATAAAAAAAGAACTGTAATCTGATTATGAGCATTTTAAAATGTAATATACTCTATTTAAGACTGCTTGATTTTAAAAAATCAGATTACGTAATCCAGATTACATGTAATCAGATACAACTCAGCACTGCTCGTGACTGATGCAGACATCACGAAGAGCAGCCGTTCTCCAGAGGATCAGAAACCGACAGCAGCCGGCCTGAAACTGAATGCCTCTGCTCCGAGAGCTCTGCCACCACAGATCTGACGGGTGACGGGAAACACTGCTTCATACCAGACAAATGGGAAATGCTCAGGCTGCAAAGTCCAGTCTAGTTGAACTCGCACAGTTGAGTCCTCTGCACAATGTGACTTTGCTGCAGCCTGGAATTGAACTGCTGGTTTCGTCTGGCCAGAGGAGAACTGGCCCCCCCAACTGAGCCTGGTCAGAGGAGAACTGGCCCCCCGACTGAGCCTGGTTTCTCCCAAGGTTTTTTCTCCATTCTGTCACTGATGGGAGTTTTGGTTCCTTGCCGCTGTCGCCTCTGGCTTGCTTAGTTGGGGACACTTAATTTCCTGCGATATCGTTGACTTAATTGCACAGATACTATTTAAACTGAACTGAGCTGGATGATGACATCACTGAATTAAATGAGGAACTGCCTTTAACTGAAAATTGAGTGCTTACTACTGTCATTTTGCATCATTGACACAAAATGTTCCTATTTAATGCTGTAAAGTTGCTTTGACACAATCTGTATTGTTAAAAGCGCAATATAAATAAAGGTGACTTGACTTGACTTGACAGAAACCCAAGCCACTACAGGTCAATAGGGTAACATTTTAAAACTAACAGACTGCACCATACTTCCCCAGTTGATTAATCACAGCATATTAAGACATTACATTTTGTATTACAAGTTTTTAGAAATGTCATGTTTAAATATGTAAAGTAGACTTTATCTAATTAAATTATGTATGCATTAATTTGCATACATTTCCAGAACTCTGAACATTGGATAAAAAACAGGTTCAAAGTTCTTGCTGGATTTTGTTGACATATTAAAGGTTTTTGCAGAGAGGATTTTGGATTAATCTATTTATCACTCCGTAAATCAAAAAATACTGTCAACAGACAGAAAAAAAATCATGTTTTTAGGAATAAAATGTTATATACAGTACATCAGGTGTTATATATATGAACAAACCCCTGTATAAAAAAAACTTCAGAATAGAGATAGGAATAAAACGGTAAAGTTTGTTGTATGTAAGTGCTGCTGAAGTGGAGAAATAGCTCACGGCCTTTAAATATATGTACTGATATAGATAAAGATAAAGCATAAAATGTGTATTTTGGATGTTAAGTTAAGTCAGGTTTTAAACCTTGATCTGATGTGATCAAGTGCCATCTATACCAAGGCTTTACCTTGGGTTAGTGTCTCAATGATGTGATCAGCATTAAACCGACTGCTGACAAGACCTTACATCAGCAGCCCAAAACAATGATCGATTCGAAACTACGGTGACTGTTCCTCACCTTAATGACGATGTGGCCCTTCCTGGTGCCGCTGCGGTCCAGCTCTCTGTGCTCCTTCACCATGACGATCTCGCCCTCCTCCTCCACCTTGTGTGTGTTCTTCTCCACATGGTTGAGGATGCGGCAGTAGTCCTCTTGTGCGATGCACACAAACTGGTCCACAACAACATGAGGAAGAGCAATGAACTGATAGTAGAGCAGGAGGTTAGTCTGCACCACACACGGGTACTCATAGCACCAACTCATGAGTGGATTGCGCTCAGTGCAACGTGTCTAAGAGGATGTGCGTGAGCGCCGGACTCACGCTGTAAGAGGAAGTTAAGGTGGAGACTTTATTTTAGGGAATCAGCAGTGTTGCTATATCAGGAGGCATTTGCATGCGGACCCTGACCACAGCACTGTGTGACATGACAGTGATAACACTGCTCACTCCCAACTCTTGACTGAAGTGTAAGTATGCAGACATTTAATGGGACATGAACCACCCAATAATCAGATATGGATAAACTGTCCTGAAACATTTGATATTCCTATCTCTTGGACTTCATTACGCACTGATCTGTTTGTCGTTAAGTTGAAAACCAGCAGTAGTCAATGTCAAAATGTTTGAGATGGGCAATCAAATCAAAGGCGGGCTTTTCCGTTCACAGAAGTCGAGCATGATTTCCAGTTTGATGCCTCAAAGTGTACGAGATGAGATGTACGTTTCATGACAGAAATATTTAACACCTGACAGTTATATACAGTGATGCAAACTAACTGACTTTGAAATTGAAAATATATCGCTTATTACATGTGTTTCATGTAATGTAACATGCAATTGAATGCGTCATTTGAAAAAACGTTACATTTATGCATTTAACAGAAGCTACTTGCATTGCATTCAAGGTATCGGTTTTTATTGGTTCATGCATTCCCTGGGAATTGAACCCATGACCTTGTTTATTATTTAACTTTCAGTCAGTTCCTTTCACTAAGCTATTAAGTGATTTCAGAAGATTTTAGCATGCAGCTTCTTCAAAATGTTTCCATGATCATTCAATCATTCAGGTTTGGATCAACTTGAGGGTTAGTACTTCCACAAACATTTGATTTCAACAAGAAAGGTGCGTCACGGGGATGTAGAGGGAAACTGCGAGGGTTTGTGAAACTGAGAGTGTTTTAACATGTGCGTTGTGATGCAGACCAATGAGAAGTTCACAAAGGTGGTTTGTGCTGCGCATTAAGGGGATAGTTTACCCAAAAATGAACATTCACCTTCATGTTGTTCCAAATGTCAAAGCTGTTTGGACCCCAATGACTTTCAAAATATCCTCCCTGCTTTTGTATTTTTATGTCTGACTTAGAATTTTGACAAATTTTTTTATTTCATAATTACAACTATATGTTAGTTTCAACTTTGTCATAATTTTGTCTTTTATCTCATAATTGTTACTTTTTATCTCATAATTATGTGTTATGTTTTCAGCATTATCTCAATTACGACTTAAAGGGATAGTTCACCCAAAAATTAAAATTCTGTCATTAATTATCCACCCTTGTGTCGTTCCAAACTCGCAAAACCTTCGTTCATCTTCGGAAAACAAATTAAGATATTTTTGATGAAATCCGAGAGCTCTCTGACCCTCCACAGACAGCAAGGGTCCTACCACCGTCAAGGCACATAAAATTAGTAAGGACGTCGTTAAAATGGTCCATGTGACATCAGTGGTTCAACCGTAATTTTACGAAGCTACGAGAATACTTTTTGTGTGCAAAGAAAATGAACCACTGATGGTCTTACTGGTTTGGAACGACATAAGGGTAATTAATGACAGAATTTTCATTTTTGGGTGAACTAACCCTTTAATATGACATCATTTTGACTTTTTATCTCATAATTAATACATAGTATTTCAGCATTTTGAATTTATCTTATAATTATGACATAGTTTGTCATGATTTGGAATTTATCTCATAACTACTTATTTCATAACTATGTAATAGTATGTTATAATTTCAGCTTTATCTCATAATTACGACTTAATATGTCATAGTTTTGACTTTTTATCTCCTAACTGATACATAGTATCTCATAATTTCGACTTTATCTTATTATTTTGACAAATTTTATCTCATAATTACAAGATAATTATATCTCATAGTACAATAATATAATTTATATATTTATTTATAATTTATGTGTGTGTGTGTGTGTGTGTATATATATATAGCTGTGATGAACACTGCTGCGAATACAAAAATCTGAATGGCTGTTTAAACCATAGATATGTATCTATGGTTTAAACCATTTAAATAAGTTTTTAGAAAGTAGTGCAGCTGCTTAGTTTCCGGGGTTTCCGGGGTAATGGCTGCATTTCTGCAGTTTAGCGCCATCTGCTGTCAGAGAGAGAGTGAATGTGCACTTTCATTCAGATTGTCTCTCACGTGTTCAGCCATGCGCTTCTTATCCGTGCTTGTTTACATCAGAGAGCGCATTTGTCTTTCACGCAGCATACAGCGGTGTTGTGCATTGTGACCAGTTGATGGGGAAAATATTCTTAAAATGCATTCAAAAAATCGGAATAATTTGTAATAAATAATTATTCACTGTATTTTGAAGTGCCCACGATAACAATATCGTGCATATTCATTACCGTGATATATCGCATTATCGAATACCGGCACATGTCTAATTATGACTTTGTATCTCATAATTCTGACTCGTGTCATAATGACTTTCTTAATCTCATAATTCTGATTTACCAAAGCATGATTTTCTTCTTACGTTGCAGAAATGAGCTTGCATACATGCTCTCACCTGGCAGTCATCTCCTTTAGTGCACACAACCCCGTTCATGAACTGTCTGTCTAGAGATGGTGAGATTCCGAAGCTGTTGCCCATGCACAGGATCTCTGTTCGGCCGTCTCCATAGCTGATCTCTACAGCACCATTCAGGATCACGTACCACAGGTCCAGCTGCAAACACAACAGTGCACTATGATCACACGATAGACGTCAAATGAGTTTTATGCATGTCAGATCGGTTGTTACAGACGCTGGTATTGTGGTGAACAACAGTTGAGATGGCATTCCAGGGATCATGTCGATAAGCTCTAGACATTTTTACTCGATAAGGATTCATCTAACAGCAGAAATAAATGCGATAACAGCAGTCAGTGTTGATCACTAATAGGCTAACTCTGCATGTCTCTGTGCGAATGAATGGCGCAGTTTCATCTGATACACAAACTCAAACACACGTGATGCTCACGGTGATGCTCCACAGCTGCTCTGGGAGTCACTTCACAAGCTTTTCACCAATTAATTTGAGAAAAACTACCGTAAAATACACACTGACACTGAAAGTAAAACTGAAAGACCTTTACATGAACCCATCAAAATAAAAGTCCAGTTTAACTTAAAGAAATTATGACAGAAATATATTACCATTGTATACTAAAATGTAAATCTCAAGTAATAATATCTATATTGTATGATATGGAAATAAATATTGCGATAATATTTTTGCCCATATCGCCCAGGCTGAAAAGGTGAAGTGCCTCCGTTCATGTGAAAATGTGTGTGTGTGAATCTGTTGAAATATCTTGACCTTTGCTTCCACTCCATTTGTTTCTGTCTCCTTCTCATCCACACAGAAGCGTGTTTGTCTCGTTGACCTTTACAGTAGCCCACACACAAATAGCACGGCTAAACGTCTCTGTGCGCTTCCCCTCTCAGCTCTTCTTTAAACTTATTTATGACATGCTTCAAAGTGTTTTCCTGTGGTCCGACATCTAACATAATTACTCAGTTTCATGACAGACTGCTCAACCTCAAAAAAACACATAGTGCTCTTTAGAGGGCTGCACTGTCACCACCAAGTCACTGATGTACTGTAAAATCTCAAATGATTCTCTTCTTTCTCTTAATCACGTCTATGTGTATGAAATGTGCTGTAAAAATAAACAGACCCTGTCTAAAATAACAGTCCAGATCTCTGAATAAAGGAACGTCAGATCATCACAGATCAATGTTTTGTCAGTTTTGGGGCTCATGACTGTGTAAGATTTGTTTTTATGCCATACATTTGCATTTAAACAAGGCTTAAATCGAATTCATAAAGCGTGTGAATGGCAATTTAATCGATTCTACCAGCCCTACTAGTACTAGTGATGCTGACATGGCATGTCTCTACCTCCTGTTTGTCCTGAAGAATGATGGTGCCTTCCTGTTCCACCACCTCGAACATCATGACCCGACACAGCTCCCTCCTGACGGACATGGTCATGTTAGCGAATGCCGGCAGCTGGTGCATGAACTCCAGGAGCTGCTCTGTAGAGAGAGATGTTGATGAGTGCGATGTTTGCTTTTCATTTGGACTAAAAAAAGCACAAGAAGTGATTACTGTGTATGCAGTAAATGAACTCCGTTAGCGTTACACTATTTGGCATTGTGACATTTTTCGTGACAATTATGTGCAACCCTCTTTGCCCTGATTTTCAAACACATTTTTGATCCCAGCAAGCAAGAGCACTTAAACAGGGTTTCTGCAGCTTTCATGAAAGTAAATTTAAAACTTTTTAAAGAGCTTTTTAAGACCAAGTAAAGAAAATTTGAAGAATTAATTGAAGGGAACGCAATACGTCAATGTTCTCCAAATATAAATGTCTAAAGAGCAGGCAATGAGCTGAATTAGTAATACTTCAAAGTTTGAAAACACAACTTCCTACTGATTACTTTTTAATTCATTTTTTTAATAAAAAAAAAGTAAGCTTAATAGCTTATAAAAAACTTAATTAAAAATATATTATTAATAAATTATAATTAATAAATTATTAATAATAGGAATAAATTATTTTCTAACAGTATAAGTCTTTACTATCACTTTTTATCAATTTAACACATCCTTGCTGAATAAAAGTATTAATTTCTTAAAAAAAAAAAAAGAAAAAAAATTCACTGACTCCAAACTTTTAAACGGTAGTGTATATTGTTACAAAAGATTTCTATTTTGAATAAATGCTGTTCTGTTTTTAACTTTTTATTCATCAAAGAATCCTGAAATTTTTTTTTATTAAGCAGCACAACTGCTGATAATAAATCAGCATATTAGAAAGATTTCTGAAGGATCATGTGACACTGAAGACTGAAGTAATGATGCTGATGAAAATTCAGCTTTGCATCACAGGAATAAATTATATTTTAAAGTATATTAAAATAGAAAACTGTTATTTTAAATTGCAATAATATTTCACAATATTACTTTTTTCTGTATTTTTGATCAAATAAATGCAGCCTTGATGAGCATTTAGAGACTTCTACAGTTCTCAGAAAACAAGACTTCATTTTGCATCTCAAGTAAATGTATCTCGATTTAAAGGATGTTTAGATATTTGAATCCGAAAGCAATGCAAAAATACTGAAGAAGACATTAATTTAATGGATATTAATTTTTAGCAATGCGTGCAACATTTAATGCCACGCCTTTATCAATCTGAGACTTTCCGCTCTGATTTAAGACCTTTTTAGGCCTTAATTTGTGGAACGGTTAATGTGAACTGAATATCAACTTAAGACCTGCAGAAACCCTGTTGTCTGTTCTCTTTCATCAACAACCAAGAGCTTTACCGATGTCGTCATCGGTCCGATCCACCGCATCCTTCTCTAGACACTCTCGCACTAGATCTCTGCCCAGAAGAGCCTCCGAGGAGCGCTCGATATCTTCATCCTCCTCCTCTTCCTCAGAGTCCACAGGAGCTTCGGGGAGGCCGGACAGATCCACGTCACCCATCTCGCTCTCGGTGGCCTGTGGAGGAACAAACAGCATTGATTGCGGCTGCTCAGTTTTAGGAAAGGAAATCACATTGGACTCCTGCTTTCACTGCTATTCAGCACTTCCTTTCTCATTAATGTCAATGTAATCTCTGCTAAGAAGGGACTTTTGAGAAACTTTCACGAGATGCTGTGGATGCAAATATCAGGTCTGACGCTGCGTTTGCATGCTTTCCTGTCATGAGCCGCATGTGCAGCGCTGCAGATATTAAACTGCATCTCATAGCACTGTGTCTGTCATGTGTTTAGTGGCTTGTAGTGCATGTGTGTAATGAAGATGAATGGAGTGTAACACCTGTTCTGGAACTGATATCAGACCTTTCATTTATTAAGTAACATTAAAGATTTGACTTGTGTTCTTTCATCCAAACCTATGAATATTCAGCAGTGTAAAAATACAATGTAAATGCACATCATGCATGTGAACAATGCGATATATAACACACAGTCGTTTTTTTTCCCCCCACATCTCTCTGACCAACAAAACATGTGAACACCAAAGGGAGTCAACACACTCCTAATGCATCTTCCCTTTCAATAATCATCTGATTCATATTTAATCGTACAAATCATAAACCTCTTATTCACTGTGAGGATTCAGACAGATCGGATTTTGTTGGTGTTGCCAAATATCACCAGTAATTAAATCATGGCATGCCATTATCATCATTAAAATACATTTGCATATAATCAGTGAATGTACATATATGTCTGACATCATTCAGTATTTTCAGAATTATGAAAATTTCTAATTCTTTTGTCAGTGGAAATCCAATTCCTTATTGTGTACTTCATTGAAAAATCCAGCTGGTTAAGATTTACAAGCATAGGAACGGTTCATTCCATTTGAACACTTTGTTTAGTATCATGATTGTATTGATTTGTGATTTATTCAGCATTGTGCATCAAACCGAACTGATTTGTGAATTCACTATCGTCCATCAAATTAAACACAATATTGGTTCAGCTGATGAATCGGTCTTGACCATTTCGAGATATCAGCATCAGATGATGATCGTCACACTCATGCAGAATCAAAATGTACTGTCAAACAAATGTTCATTTAATGTCATCCTTAGACTGTATTTTTTATGAGCATCAGCACCCTGCTCATACATCACACATCAGCATTGGCCAAAACACAAATCTTTATATAAGCCATTTATTCTTCATCAAGATTATGATTTATAACTGATCAGATCAGTCACTAATCTATGGTCATCGGTCAAAAAATATGTATGAAAGAAACTGAGTTGAGACAGGAAGGACAGAAAAGGCACATATTACTGAGAAAGTCAGAGAGGAACCAGAACTCAATAGCGTGTCACAAGCACTTCTGTGCGTTTCATACAGAGACTCGAAGTGATATGTGATATGTTCGTATAATGACAGAACTGTCATTAAACTGTGTTTAAAGATCAAAATTTTAACAGCTTCTTTTCATTTAAAGTTTACAAACAAAAATGCTGATTGAATTAGAACATATATGGCACTATTACCCATTATTTTTTGTTATTCAAATGTGTCATTTGTTTTTGCGTGTTACAGACAACAAATAGTTTTTCTTCAAATGTGAAATACGTGTATGTATTTTCTTGGATTGAAATATATGGAGGGCATAATATATATTTAAATGCTTTTAAAAATATATTTGGTAACACTTTACAATAAGGTTAATTAGTTATCATTAGTTAACTACATTAGTTAACATGAACAATACTTCTACAGCATTTATTATTCTTAGTTAATGTTCATTTCAGCATTTACTAATGCATTATTGAAATCACAAGTTGTGTTTGTTAACATTAGTTAATGCACTGTAAACTAACAGGAACAAACAATGAACAACTGTATTTTTATTAACTAACATTAACAAAGATTAATAAAGAGTGTAATAAATGTAGTGTTCATTGTTCGTAACTAATGTTAGCGAATGACACATTGTAAAGTGTTGTCATATATTTTCAAAAATATACAAAAAATAGTAAAAATATAAATATTGGTACAAAATATATTCACGTAAATATTTTTTGAATTATATTTTAGCAAATATATTTTTGTATATTTTAAATTATACATTTAAAAAATATATTTGAATTTTTTTTGCCATATGGGAAAATTATTTTTCCACAATTTAGATACTTTGGACTGTCAGTTCAAAATACTGATTCAATAATTCGTTTGATCAATCAAAAGTGCTCACAGAAAAAGGTTCACGTACTTTCAAACTCTGACTCAGAATCAAGTCTGAGCACTGAGCGCTCGTCAGGTGATCAGGAGAAGTGGCAGTACCTGGTAGATGTCTGATAGGCTGCTGCTCCCCGAGTCACTGGCGATGCTGCATCCTGATTGGCTGGGAGGCATGTGCATCTGCTGGTGGGCGTGGTCTGTCAGGTGCATCTTGCTGAGGTCACCAGGAAGCTGTGCAGACAAGACAGGAAGTGAGAAATGTTGAATTGAGGACATCATTTATAATGCAGCTCATGAGTGACCTGTCCGCCGCTGAATGTGAGTGAGGAAAATACGCCAGCTTCAAAAAAGAGAGAGAACAACTCTAAAGGCCTGTTTACACAAAGAACGACTACTTTAAAGCTGGGGTATTTAATTCAAGTTTCAAGAGGTCCGGTCTCTATATTTCCTTCCCAGCAGAGGTACGGACAATACTGTTTAGGAAAAGTTATACATTTCTATCTGTGCAGCAGCAGTGCTTTGTAAAAGGAAAAAATACTAAACATCAAAGATGAGGATATTGGGCCCCAAGAGCCAAAGCAACTGATGTTTCATCAGCTGACCCCAATTAGATATAAATATTAAAAGCTAAGATCAGACGTTTTATACGGGATATTATTATTTTTATATTTCGATGCCCGTGTGACTGAGAAAAGAGACTGTATGGAGCTTCAGGGTCATTTTTAAGTCATTTTTATATTTTGCTTAAAAACAAACAATGTACATAATAATCCAAATGCTCTCATCATGAATAGAAAACAAAGTTAACAAGTCATTTCAAAATTTTAGTTGTCTTTCCTTGCCATCTGCAAATAATTTTAAGTATAACATTGTTTACTATGAAATTCTCTTAACATGCTGATTAATCATGCTATATGTAGATGAAAAAAAAAACTTTTAGTCACAAGCCATGCATATTAGATCTGTCAGAGTGTGACAGATAAAAATAATTTATGCAAAAGCAATTCATGCGTTTGCTGCATTCTTGTTTCCTGCAGTGTTTTAGCAAAAGTGTTTCACTGTGTTTAAATGCAACTGTTGTTAAAATAAACACCATCATCTGAAGCTCTTTTAGCGCTTTCCATTTATAGCAGGGGAGAGAAGCAACACACACACACAGAGCGGAAAGGGTTTGAATAAAATGCGTACCATAAACGAGCCTGAGCACTTGTGGTGTGTACTGCTCGGCCCACAAACCTTAGGATGTGTTACAAATGCAAATATTTATCATCTTTTCTTACATTTTTCCATGTAAAATCATCACGTAGTTGATCAAGAGTTAAACAGAGGAGCTGTTGATGAGAGTGCAGGTGCGTCAGGCCTTTCATCCTGTGAATGAGCTGGACAGCTGTGTAAAGGGCATCCGTGATTCGTAACTGTGGCATAAGGGCAAACGAGAGGCGCTGCTAATTGCTGCAGTCGTACTGTGCTCGCTCACACGAGGGTCTCTCCCCGGCGCCTCAATTAATGATGCCGGGAGATTAAATATGAATGAGCCAGACTCCAGGATTCACGCACGACTGACGCACTGATGCACGATCACCTGGATGGAAATGCATGGTATTCACATAAACGGTGTGTTTGAGCCTCACTGTAATACTCAAAGATACACATACTGAGGCTAATTAAGAAGGAAAAGATGTTTTTATGAGGAGGCTTTATGGGACATAACTCAGGGGTGCTGAGAGACGTTGTCCTTGTGGGAACTCCACTGAATTATTCATGCGTCCCGCCACGCTCACGTCTAGACTAGACAACATTCAGACTGACCATCACTTCAACAGGACGATGTGTGTGTGATGCCCTCTGTGTTTTCTACCATTTTATATGTCTGATGATAGTGATGGTTTAGTATTAGATAAAATAATGCCCTCATTAAACGTAAAATGCAAGTGAAAGCAATATCCAGGGCAAATGCTGGCCTTAATACAACAGTAAAAAGGGTAAAACAGCAGACAGAGAGTTTGAAAGCAGAAATGTCGAGCTGCATTACCTGAATTAAAGTGTAAATAAAGTTCACATGTGCAAGTCAGGCAGTCCGTCACAGGTTCAGAATAAATGAAAAAATGTTTTCACTTCTCATAACAACATAATGTCTCTATCGTTGTGTTCTGTGATATCGCTTTGACGAAGCACCTGTCATAAAATCTAATTTGCGATGTGCTTTGTGCGCTTATCAAATGGCAAAAGGCTGCAATGTAATGAAGTATATATAGTCTGTTGCGCTGTGTGTTTCAGAGAGAAGCGCAGCACTGTTTTCATTTACACATGAGCAGCTCATGTTTTCAGCATCTCTGAACAGCTTGATTCACAGTGAACACAGTGGTATTGTTATTATTCAGTGCGGATTATTATTATTAGGGGTTCAAGTGCGTAGCAAAAAGTATGTGTCGGATTCAAAAACGGTAGTGAAATTTTTGGCTATTTTGGATTTTTTTGAAAAACCTATTTTTGGGAACTGGTCCTGGGTTTTACACTCAACATCAATAAAAAGAGCAGTACAATTCTCTGGACTGTCTAGGCCAAAAATTACCAAAAAATGTTTTGATAATTTGAACTTTTGCATATGGACAGCTATAACAGGGTCATTTCAAAATATGGTAAACACAGTGGTATTGTTATTATTCAGTGCGGATTATTATTATTAGGGGTTCAAGTGCGTAGCAAAAAGTATGTGTCGGATTCAAAAACGGTAGTGAAATTTTTGGCTATTTTGGATTTTTTTGAAAAACCTATTTTTGGGAATTGGTCCTGGGTTTTACACTCAGCATCAATAAAAAGAGCAGTACAATTCTCTGAACTGTCTAGGCCAAAAATTATCAAAAAATGTTTTGATAGTTTGAACTTTTGCATATGGACAGCTATAACAGGGTCATTTCAAAATATGGTCTTTACCTAGTGTACCCAAAAGCCTATGAATTCTAAAGGAAAACTCAAAACTTCACAAAATCATGCAAGTTAATGCATCATATGCTTCTAAACAAGCATGCAAAATTTTATGGAGATCGGGCAAAAGTTGGCGCTATAACAGCTAAAAAGGCAAAACAATTACTATATTCCTGCAGTAAATTCCCTGAAATTACCATTATAACCACTAGATGGCAGAAGAGGGGCACTAATGGGCTCATTTAACTCACTAATAATAGGTTTTGCTGCTGGATTTATATTTAGACATTATAAAATCACTGATACAACATTTAAAATCATATTTTTTCATAGTTTACCACTTCATTTGCACTGAGGTATCACTGTTGCATATGCCACACTACATCAAGTGAAAGTAAGCAGGTTTATTGTGTTCGTTGGTAAGTGTCATGTGTGAGTGTTGTAACTGTATGTCTGAGTGAATGACAGCTGATGCACTTCCTGTTCATTCATACAGAAAAGCAGGCGCTCTAAGGTTAAAAAAATGCAAAATACAGAGAATAATATATATAATAGATATAATTGAAAAAAGCACATTTTGATTTAACAGTAAATTATCAATACTGAATTCATTATTTATTAGGGCTGTCAAGCAATTAATTAATCTAAATAATTACAATGCTGATTTAATTAATTAATTTAATTAATCATAGATTAATCGCACATCGATTTGGCTGAGAAATTATTTCACACATATTTCACATTAAGGAAAAAAATGAGCGATGAGACGTTTTTTTGTTATCTCTAGCAGCTCACACACGCTCCATAGACATGCTCCATTAATACACACATCAACGATTTAATGATGCGAACACAAGCAGATCACGGACCGGATCATGAAGCAGGACTCAGACACAAACTGTGCCATTTGCTGTCCGGCAGGCCTGGTGTCCAGCTGCATTAGTGCTGCATGTGAATGGAGGCTGAATCACGTTAGACGCTTCTTCCTGCACTAATTCACCGGGAGAGAGCGGTCTCATAAATGAGCCCTGCAGCGTGCAGCTATGATAAATGCAGCGCATGTTTAATGCTATTACAGCAGAGGAGAGCCCTGCAGCTCACGCATTAAACTCTTGAGTGAACCAGACCAACACTGACCTCCCCAAACCAACACACGCACCCCTAAACACAGTATTACACTAGACATGAATCATGTGTGCTGTTGAGGAGAATGCGCTGCTACTTTACTAAGTGATCAGATGCACCAAAAACAGCTGCAAAATATATTTTGAAGAATGTTGGTAACCAGTTTCTGGTCCCCATTGACTCCATAGTATTTGTTTCCATACTATGGAAGTCAATGGGGACCAGAAACTGGTTACCAACATTCTTCAAAATATATTTTTTAAAGAAACTCATACAGGTTTGGACAACTTGAGGGAGAGTAAATGATGTCAGAATGTTTATTTTTGGGTGAACCATCCCTTTAAGGTCTCCATGCTTTTTCTATAAAGAAACAGAATGTTGAAGAAAATTCTAGAAAATAATAATTTTGAACTTTTTGCAAATAATATTTTAAAATATGCTCACTTTTACTCTTATTTGTAAGTTCAGTATGTCGAAAACCCAAAATATTTCATGTCTAGTCACATTCAGTTAGGAATTACATGAATCACGTAAATGCTATATATTTTCAATTCAAAATGGCACAATTTGAGAAAAAGTAAAGTAGTTTCAACAATCCAAATTAGAACACAAAAATACAGAATGACAATCAGTTAAAAGCAAGTCGGAAATAGAACGGATATGAACATTTCTATCGTAAAACAGTTGTGAAATATTAAATGTTTCACTACTTCCAGTTAAAACAGATGCTTCGAGCTGGAATTTGTGCTTTGCCTCCGTGAACAGTAAACTCCGCCTACTTTTCAATCATTTTGACATTGACGAGTGCTGTTACACCCAGCACAAGCAGACCAGCCTAAAAATGTAACGTTTAAACCTTTTTGTCATCCTGACAACAAACAAATCACTGCATAATGGAGGGCAGCAGAGCAGTGCAAGATTTTCAGATTTTGGAGGGACAGTTTGGCCATTTCTAATTATTGGGGGGAACTATGGTGGATACGGACCTGGTTTCATGTTAAAAATTAGGGAATTAAGACAGCCAATTGCCGTACTGTTATTTTTTTTAACTCTATAAATACTATATTTTCTATCTTACAGTCTATCCTGGGAGGTTTAGGGTGTCATGTGGACAGGAAGGTTAGGCGATCAGGATCAATACACTCAGCATTAGCCTCGACACGTTTCGTTCCATCGTTAAA